GTTCTGAAATACCTTTCTTTTTTTTAAAAAAAGAACAGTATATAATGCATATGCATATTAGATAAATCATAAAACTGAGACAAAAAGGGGAAACTGAAAACCAGAAGTAAATCACAGAACCCTGAATACTGTGGTTAATGTTTTAGTGCATTTCCTTTTCATTTTTTTTCCAGAAATGCATTTTTAAATGAAAAGCAAATAACAATGGTGGCGGTGGGGGAGAGAAAGGGCAGCAGAGCTGTTCCGTACTCTGCAGGCTTTAGCATAGCTTCTCTTTACTCCCCTCAAACATGTGCCTTTTTCATACCCATGTTTCTTAATGTCCCTGAATTAGGAAATAGCTTCTGTGTGAGTTAAAAATTTGTGAATGGGTGTTCATGTCAGAGACCTGAAAAAGTAGTGGGCAAATAAGGTAGAAATGTATTTCTCTCTCAAGAAGACGAAGCCCAGAAATAGACTGTCCAGGACTCATGAAGTGGCCCCATGGTTCATGACTTCCATTCTCAATGTTGCTTCCAGGTCCTAGATAGTGCTGGAGCTCCAGCTATTACATCTGCATTCATGAGAATGAACAGAAGAAAAAAGGCAAAGCCCTGGCTGGCTGTGGCTCAGTGGATTGAGCACGGGACTGGGAACCAGAAGGTTGCCAGTTTGATTCCCAGTCAGGGCACATGCCTGAGTTGTGGGCCGGGTTCCCTGCGGAGAGTGTGCCAGAGGCAACTGATCGGTGTTGCTCTTGTGCATCTTGATGTTTTTCTCCCTCCCTTCCTCTCTCTCTAAAAATAATTTTTTTTAAAAAAGGGAAGAAGGGCATAGGCTTTCCCTTTTAAGAAGCTTTACCTTTTCACACTTTCAATTTTATTTTTGTTCTGGTATGATATTAAAAAGATCTTCCTAATTTAGGTATCATAAAGATATTCTATATATTTTCTGGAAATTTTAGAACTGTCTTTTCTTTTTAGATTTAAACCTGAAATGTATTTATATTTATACAGTGGGGCAGGGGTCCAACTTTCTTTTTCCAAATGGCTGCTGTCAGGGGACATTTTCTTTAACTCATATATCTGTCCCTCTTGTAACCATTGGCCAAGACCCTTCTCTTTTGTTTGTACTTGTATTTCTAACCATTCTCTTTCTAGTTTCAGCCTCTGGACTTCCACTATATCCAGTGCATATCTCTTTTTGCACTTATACATGACTTTAATATAATGTATTTTCAAATATTTCTCCCACACAACACTATGAGCACCTTGAGAGTAGGGACTTTGTATCAACTTTGTATCTCTAGCATTTAAAACTTAGTAGCTTCCTCAATCAACAGTTGTTAAAAGGAATGAATGCATAAAATGCTGCCATGTTACACTGCATTTAGAAGGCTACTTCCTAAAGATACAATAATTTCATTATTAACAGGCCTCTAAATAAACTTAATCCCTTTAGTGTTGGTTGGATTTCAATTAGCTTCAACTCTGTGGCATTGTATTTTAGTGTATAGTTTGCCTCAGGGAGCCTGTACGCATTTATTGCAGTAGGTATTAGTAAGCTATATAGTTCCAAGACTCCAGGACTTAGAGGACACCTCCCTGGAATGCTGAGGAACCTGTTCACTCAGGAGACAGTCACGGGGACTCTGCCATCTGTGAGTTCTCATCCAGCTGCTGGGGAGAGGCAAAGCAGAGTCAGGTATGGGCTTTGCTCTCATGAAACCACAATGAGGACAAGTACATGGGAGGTGGTACCAAAACAATATGTCTGTTATTGCCCTCTCCATCTGTAGAGCAAGTTGCATTATTTCATCTGAGAAGATCGTTATCTTGCCTACTTTCAGAGTTTTCCTGTTTAGTAATTACTTATTACAGTGGCTTAGTAATTATTGAGCTCTCTGGGGTTTCTTCCTTTTTTCTTTTCTTTCTTGAATATCTTCTCCTTTACTCCAAGTCAACTGGAGTGTGTCCATGGGGAGGGAGAACACTGGGTGCATAGAGCCAGTGGAGCTCACAGGAGGGACAGAAGAATGCCTCTGCCAGCCAGGAAACCACTGCTGAGTGCGAGCTTCATTGTACAACCCTGACTGGAAACAGACTTGATTACATGGGATCATTTTAACCACTTATCGTAGCCCCATCTTCGTTAAGAGCCCACTGACAGAACAGTAGATAAGATTAGGGCTCAAAGAACCCCTACTCCACCTCCTTCTTCAGCCTTGCAAAAACCCCAGCTCAACCCATCCAGTAACATTACCTTGGTTTGTGCTTTCTTATCTATTTTCACTTCTTGCCTCTTTGAGTCATGGTCTGTTCTCTGGTCCCTATACCATACTGGGGGCTGCATAAACAATCCTTGTAAGAAGAAGGCAACACTAACTGTCTCCATCATTACGCTACTACTGTCTTCAGAGGAAGGTCACCCTCCTGGGCTCAGTCTGTGCTTCGCCAGCAATGGCCTACTCGGCTCTGCCAGCAGGGGGCGCCGAAGGGAGAGGACAAAGCTGGAGGCGGGGCTTCCGTTTACTTCCTCTCTACCTACTGCCTTGGTGAGCGTCACCATGCCTACGCTTTGGAGTGTGGTTTGTTTTATGTAGCTGCACTGAGCCCAGTTTAGGGTAACTGCCGATGGAGACACCAGTCGCCTCATAGGAGGTCTGGATCTCAGCCTAGGGGGCCTTTTTCTAAGCTCAGAGTGCCCAGCGATTAGCGTCCCCATCACAGATCTTAATTTCAGTTTGCTGGCATCTTTCTTCCCAAAGTTTAATAATTCACATTTTTTCTTTATTCCTCTAGCCTAAGGGTGGTAGCTGCTTTCAGCAATTGCTACTTCCTTAACAATTTAGTGTTGTTTATCCTTTCCCACCACACACACCTTTTCAATTATTAAGTTCTTCATATTAAATTTGCTCTTTCAAATAACTGACCAGGATTCTGCATGTTTGGAGGGGTGGTTTGGGGGTGAGGGGGTAGGCAAACAGTGACCAACAATGTCAGTGGCTTTGAAGAAGGCATTTTCCACCCTGTATTGCCAAGATCACCCCATGGAGCTCTCACTGAAGTCCAATGGCTCAAGTGTTATCCATTCTTCAGACTGCCAGGAACCCTAGACTCACAGATATTAGTGAGGGAGATCTAAAATCTGGAGTCCTGTGGCTACTTCCACAACGTACGGATTATTGGCAGTCATGGAAAGGCAGGCAAATGGATTTTTTCAAGTAGTTGCCATTTGAAGTATAAACTCTGATTTTCATTGACTTTTTTTTTTTTTTAAATAAATAAGCAAAAGAAACAATGCTTGTATTTTTATTGTTTCACCCTTGTAATGTTCAGGGAACATGAGAGGAGTGACTCTTGGATTGCAGGCCAACAGAAGGCAGGGAGCATATCTGTGTGTTTCTATGATTCTTTGTTAAAGGGGCAGGAGGGAAAGCTTTCAAGTTCTTATATAAGCATGCACAGATTTTTATGAATTGTTTTATGGCAGGAGAACATGGATATAAACTGGACTGTCCTGCTCAAAATAGCTCTTGCCTTCCCAGATATTGACAGCATTTTTTACTGCCCTACTCACTTCCTTGAATGCCTCATTCGAGATAATATATCCCTGAATAATATATCTGGGCTTGCTCTTTTACCTGAGAGCAGGAAGCTGAAAGGTGAGTGATAAAGCCACCTGCTGCTCTCTGCTTTACAGAAATTAAGGAGGAGCCTGAGACAGTTTCTTGGACACCCCGTGAATATCAGAAACTGTATCTTGGAGGAGCTAAAAGAAGACCAAGGGATATGGGGTTTACATTTGCTTGCATGGAACTCAAACAATCTTCCCTTGGAAAAAAGAAACAGACTATGGCAAGACATCTTCCCTAGTTAGAAAAGAAGCTATTGAAGGTGAGAATTTTCTTAATTTTTCATTTTTTCTTCCTCTTAGATTCCCATAAAAAATAAGCTAAAGAGGATGCAAAAAGGAAAAAAAAAATCATTGCTGGATGTGTCACATTTTGTTTCTCTTTCTCTCCTTTTAGAGACTTTTATTTGTAGTATCTGGTTCTCTTTGACAGTACTCAGTGCCCCGTATTGTTTAGAAAGGTAGCTGTGGTTTGGTTGAACAAGTATTTGGATTATAGAGAAAAAAACAAGGGGGGAGGAAGAATGAGGGGTCCCAGATTTACTTCTTATAACATATGTGATATTTGGCAAATTATTTAGCTCCTGTTTTCCTATCTATAAAAGACCTAATAGAATTATATTTTAGGTATATTTGTGAAGATTAAATGGGACAATGTAAAGAAATATTTCTGGCTCATAGAAAGCACTCATTTAATATTGTGGGTGCATAGCTCTGTGTGTTTTATGTAAATATATTTTAAATTTGAATAGACTAAGAATATGAATGATTAAATGCATTTTTGGATTACATCCACTTTTTAAAAAGGATGGTTAGATTTATGTTTAACCAATGAACTATGTATGGATGGTGAAAAACATTCTAATGTATAAATTGGCAAATAAGAGGAAGAAATGTACTTTCTCTTTTAAAAGGACTTTTGAATTTCTAGAACTGACACCGAGAGTCTAGATTTCATGGATTTTCTTTCTAGGCCGACCAGTAAGTCTAGGCCTAGATAAGAGCTCTGTTAGAAACAGGCTGGTAAGGAGTGGGAAAAAGAATGGGAAATGAAGAGTGGGGAATTCCTCTTATTAATTCTGCGTTTAGGTGCTCAGTTCTGTTTCCCTTTGTCTCTGTTGGGGTAGAGATCATCTGATTGCAGGGTCAGATTATAAAACTCCATCAGCAAACCAAGTGTAAGAAGTTCCTAGGCAGGCAGGTCTCAACTGAGGGTATTTGTCTAGAGAAGAAATATATTTTTGCCATTACTTTGGAGCTGGACTTGATGTTCCTGGGAACACATTCAGGCGAGTTTGTAACTGAAGACATTTTGTTCTGTCCAAGGATTCCATCCTCCTGCTCCTCCTTCCCTGTGCCCAAACTCTGCCGATCTCCATGCTGTGAAGATGGTTTGGTGGAAGCAGAGACGCTGCAGGCAGCATTACCTGTGGGCCCTGGGCTGCTATTTGCTGCTGGCCATTGTTGCTCTGAGACTTTCTTTTAGATTGAAATGCAACTTTGATTCTCTGGATCTGGAGTCCAAGGACTTTCAAAGCAGGCACTGCAGGGACATCTTGTACAAGTCCCTAGGATTGCCAGCAAAGAGATCCATCAACTGTTCTAGAATCGTCCGAGGGGATAAGGAAGCAGTGACTGAGGCCCTCCTGGACAAGCTGGAGGTCAAGAAGAAACGGGAGCCTTTCACAGACACTGACTACCTCAACATGACCAGAGACTGTGAGTACTTTAAGGCCAACAGGAAGTTTATACAATACTCACTCAGCAAAGAAGAATTAGACTTCCCTATTGCATACTCTATGGTGGTCCATGAGAAGATTGAAAACTTTGAAAGGCTGCTGAGAGCTGTGTATGCCCCTCAGAATATATATTGTGTGCATGTGGATGAGAAATCCCCAGAAACTTTCAAAGAGGCAGTGAAGGCAATTATTTCATGCTTCCCAAATGTTTTCCTGGCCAGTAAGTTGGTTCGAGTGGTTTATGCCTCCTGGTCCAGGGTACAAGCTGACCTGAACTGTATGGAAGACCTGCTTCAGAGCTCAGTGCCATGGAAATACTTCCTAAATACGTGTGGAACAGACTTTCCTATAAAGACCAATGCTGAGATGGTCCTGGCCCTCAAGATGTTGAATGGGAAGAACAGTATGGAGTCAGAAGTACCTAGTGAGGCCAAAAAATCTCGCTGGAAATATCACTATGAGGTGGAAGACACAATACACATAACCAGCAAGATGAAGGACCCTCCCCCTTATAATTTACCTATGTTCACGGGTAATGCCTACATCGTGGCTTCTCGAGGCTTTGTCCAGCAGATCTTAGAGAACCCCAAAGCCCAACAACTGATTGAATGGGTAAAAGATACCTATAGCCCTGATGAACACCTCTGGGCCACGCTTCAGCGTGCACCATGGATGCCTGGCTCTGTTCCCTACCACTCCAAGTTTCACATGTCAGACATGGCTTCCATTGCCAGGCTGGTCAAGTGGCAGGGCCATGAAGGAGACATCAGTATGGGGGCACCTTATCCACCTTGCTCTGGAACCCACCAACGGTCTGTCTGTATTTATGGGACTGGGGACCTTCACTGGATTCTTCAGAACCATCACCTGTTGGCCAACAAGTTTGACCCAAAGGTGGATGATAATGTTCTTCAGTGCTTGGAGGAATACTTACGTTATAAGACCATCTATGGAACTGAACTCTAGAGGTACACTAAGACTGTTGCTACCTGTGGGGCAAGACCATGTGCAAACATGCCCAGAATGTGCTGGGCAGTGTGTGGTGGGAGGCCAGGTTCTCTGGAATCCAAGGCGTCCCCCAGGGTCAAGGGGCTGCTGTTGGAGCATGAGTAAGTAGATCTGCTGTGTTGCAAATTAATGCCCTGGATGAACACTGACTCATCTCCCCCTACTCCCTGTAGCCCCTCCACTGACCTCCTCCCAGAGAGAGCATAAGAACCAGTTATTTAGGAGAGTCAGGGAGGGAAGTATATGACACAGGCCCCTGGATTTTAGTTGAATGCTTGGTGTCCAGCTTTTCCATTCTGTGGAGATGCCATTCCTAATAATTTGAGGCTTGGTAGTGGGGGAGGGGGAGTTTGATGGAAAGAGGGCTTTCTCTTTTGTACCATTAATTTTAAAATAAATAGCTCCTGATTCAAAATGCTACCTCTTCTTTTTTTTTTTGGTAAGCCAGAAATAAGACAAAAGCGTGAGACTTTTTTCCCATTACTATTGGTGATGTTTAGAATCCCTAATAGCTGGCAAGAGAGTCCCCATTATTCCAAAATGGTCAAGGCAGGCTGTGTAAGTAGCAAATTCAAAAGAGTGTAGAGGAATAGTTGATGTTTTCATTATTGAAAGCCCTCCTCATGTTGTTTACATTGCCAGATCCATGACTCTTCTGTGTGGGAAAAGGCAGGGTGATTTAACCAATCTGACCACTGAATCCATATGCGAAAATTAACAGCCCTAGTTTTGCCAGCTTCACAGCCAAAGCTTAATGTTCCATAACAAAGATAGTAGCTATTTTAGGGAAGGTCACTATATAATTTATTGTCCAAACTGGGTGCATTTGAAGGGGGAGGATGGCTGCACTATTAATAAAATTATGTTGGAAAACAAGCATAACTAGGACTGTTCAGCTAACCCAGGAAGTCTGGTTATTTCACAGGTAGGCCTTGATTTGTGTAATGCGAATGATGTTCCCACTGATATGTCATGACATCATTGTTTTTTCATTTTTGATTATGGCTCCATCAAGTTTTGCTCTCATAATCAACTTGTATATGTAACTTTTGTAATCTATGTACTCTGATGTAGTTGTAACTGTCTGACACAGTGAGTTTTCTGTTTATAAGCTAGTGACTGCTTTTTATAAGGTTGTGCTCCTGTGGCGGTGGGCGTTGCCACCACCAACTTACTCGCATCCTAATATTGAGTCCCGTCGCCCTCCTGTCGCCCTCACTCGGAGCCCTGCCAGGAGAGGACTGGCGGACAGCTGTGCTCAGCAGCTGAGCCCCTGTGAGGTCTGGTCCCCGCAGTGGCGATCACGCGCTTCTCCACTGCGGCTGCGGGAAGCGGCAGAAAAGCTCTCCTGAAGGGACGTGTTCTGAGAAAAGGACTCAGGTCTTTGACCTCATAGTCAACTTCCTCTGCAAATTTTCATGTGAAATAAATTATAATTTTTATCTAAATAAACTGTGAACTTGTCATTTTGGGGGAACAAGTTGCTGGGATTTTCCAAGCATTGACATTTTTTCTAGAAATACATCACATGAATAGGAAGTGCTCTTTATTTAATAAGGTCTTCATATCAGAAGGGTCAAATTTCCCCGTCATTTGTGTAGTTTATTTTAGAAATCATACAATTAAACCAACACATTACATCAACCCTCTGAGTAACATTCATTTCCTTGACCTTTCTCTGGAAAGGAAAAATCTTGTAAATGAGTCAAGCAACTATGTTGGTATTACCTGTCAAGGTTTGAATTACCTCTTTAGTTTTGACTTGTGGACTATAGGTAAGCATTGTTTTAATAACTATATTTTGGTTCACTTTCTGCCTATTATAATCTTTGTTCTCTTGATTGAGTGAAACTTCTTTTTAAAGATTTTATTTTTAGACAGAGGAGAAGGGAGAAAGAGAGAGGGAGAAACATCAATGTGTGGTTGCCTCTCGCGTGCCCCTCACTGGGGATGTGGCCTGCAACCCAGGCATGTACCCTGACTGGGAATTGAACTGGTGACCCTCTGGTTCACAGGCCAGTGCTCAGTCCACTGAGCCACACCAGCCAGGGCTGAAATTTTTTAAGCAAGGAAGAAAAGGCAGTTGATAATCTTGTTTGGGAACAGATGACATATTTGTTACCTATAACTTATTTGGGGAGATCACATATTTGTACTAAAAATAGAAAGAACCATTAAATCCATTATCAAAGGGTTTTTCAAACAGGCAAATGGGATTACCAAATGTTTGAAAATACAGGGTATGTTCAGGGAATGTCCTGAATGTAAGGAGGGAACTTGTGAGGAGGGCAGGTAGAGGAGCCTGGAAGATGACCAGTTGGCAGGAAACCTGGTGTTTTGCAGCTATCCAGGAGTTTGGACTTAATCTGTAAGCAATGAGGGTCCTTGGAAGAAATTTTTATTTAAAATAGTTCATATTTATTGATTTTAGAGAGGAAGGGGGAGGGAGAGAAAGGGAGACAGACACCATTAATTTTGTTCTACATTTTATGCATTCATCTGTTGCTTCTTGTATGTGCCTGACCAGGGATCAAACCCACAACCTTGGGGTATTGAGACAATGCTCTAACCAACTGAGCTACCCAGCCAGGACTAGAAGATATTTTTAAAGAAACCTTTAATACAGAAATCTTCAGTCACACGAAGGTAGAGAGAATATAATAATGAACTTTTGTACCCATCATCCAGCTTCAGTTATCAAGTGCTGACCAATCTGGTCTTAGCTATGCTCTCATTAACTTTCCAAACCAAACCAGGAAATTTTGAAGTAAATGCCAAATGTCATGTCATTTCAGTCATTAATTCTTTGGTATCTTTCAATTAATATAGGTAATCAATATTTTTTAAACACAACCAACTGTATCATACCTAAAATAGTTAATAGTTAACTTTCTTAATCATATAGCGAACCAGTTTTTAGTTTCTCTCATTTCATCATGTCATAATTGTTTTATAGTTTGGTTATCTGAATCAATGGTTATCAACCATTGGGTTGATAAAACATCTCAAAAGTCTTTTGATTATAGAGTCTCTGCCTTTTTTGTTTTGATAATTTGTTGAAAAATCTAGGTCTCTTTCCTCTACAGGTCCCCATATTTGGGATTCTGTTGATTGGTTCCCAGTAGTATCATTAACTTATTCCTTTGCTTCTGATATTTCTTGTAAACTGTTACTTCTATTTAGAAGCTTGATTAGATTCAGGTTTGAATTTTTGTCAAAATTTCAGAGTTGGTATTTCACATTGTATCACACCAAGAGGTACATTTGTCTGTTTTTGTTTTTTTTTAATGTTGGAATTGAATTATGGGGTTCGGGAGTCATCAACCTGTTATAAATTTCTCATAACCTTTTATCCTAATTGTTTTAGTAGCCACTGATGATCATTGCTAAGTTCTGTTATTTCATAACAATTTGTAAAATAGCAATATATATCTTAATTCTACAGGTAATCTGTAAATTTTTGTATACTGAAATTTTCCTTATCGACTGTATTATTAATGTGAAGTACAGTCGTTTCCCTCTGTCAGTTTTCAGAACAATGAATTGGTCGCCTAATGATAAATGAATTTATATTGGTAGGGGGTGGGTGTTGGTATCATCTTGAACTCGTGAGTTGTTTAAAAACAAAATTTACTTGTTGTGACTCACTGCAGTTATTTTAATGATGCTAAAAATGCTCCATTTTTGGCTATTATTTTCCTATGGCCACTATACCAAATTGTCACAAATTTAGTGGCTTAAAACAACAGAAAGGTATTGTTTCACGGTTCTGGAGGGCAGAAGTCCAACATCAGTTTCACTGGGCAAAACCATGGTGTTGGCAGGCCTGCGCGCCCTCTAGGAGGCTCTCCTTTTATGTATATATTACCACAATTTAAAAAAATCTTTAAAAGAGAAATGCTGAGAGGAAAATCCATGTCCTCTCTCTGCCTATCCCAGGTCTGTCTGCTCTACTCAAGCCCCACCACTTCTAAGAAACTGCCCCTTCTAAGCAGGGTTGATGTAACTGGAAGAGGAATTAACCTCATCCAGATCTTCGTAGTAACTGGTGGGACTTTGTGACTTTTTTTGCGGGGGAGAGAGTAAGCATATTTTATATGAGGTTGCTGTCATATGTAAATACCAAGATGAGCGAAAGGATGGGTGTACATGGGGAGTAGGCAAAAGAGGGTGTGGATATTGACTGTTCTTTCAGCTCCGTATCAATTCGTTTGCATTTCCCTCTTCTGCTGGGGTGGAAAATCCACGAGCTACATTCCCCAGACTCCCTGCACCTGGATTTCTGTTTAGCTCTACCTTTGAGAAGCAGTACTGGGGTACTAGGAGGTGAGAGAGGGAAACTATTTTTCTTATACCTTCTGGTAGTGTCACAAGCAATGGCAGTGACAACAGCATAAGCAACAGCAGGTACAGAGAAAGCTGGAATGGCAGCACTGGCATTGGCGACAGCAGCACGGTGGCCGCCGTGGCCGCGCAGTGCAGGCCAGCGGGCTTCTGCTCAGGGAGCTTGGTTCCACAGGACCAGCCTCAGCGGCCTGGTGACTGTGGGCTCTGGGTCACGCTGTTTTCCTTTTCGCTCCCTCCCGCAAGCAGTAGGGGGTGTTAGCTGCTTCTTCAATCACTATTCCTTTGATACACTTTTCCCACTTATGCTACTGCAGCCCTTGGAATATCCTGGTAACAAACTCCTTTACTAAATTCGTTCTGTTTGAAATACTTAGCGCAATTTCTAGTTTTCTAATTGTACGCTGACCGATACACTTCCTTTGAGGTAGGCACAACAGGGGCCCCCAAACATGCTGAAGACAGTTCTTTTCTTGACGAGTCCTTCAGAGTAAGTGTCAAGACAAGCAGATAATGCCATGCTCAGGAGGGAGGTACAGAAGCTCAGCAAAGGCTGAGAGACATGGGAAATAGAAGGGTGAGGTAGGTTTCTTAGAAGTGGTGGGGACTGAGTAAAGCAGACAGATCTGGGACAGGCAAGGAGGAGACATTTTCCCCTCAGAATTTCCTTTTTAAAAAGAAACTGTGGTAAAATGTACATAAAATTTACCATCTCATCATTTTTAAGCATATAGTTCATTCACATTGCTGTGCAACCAATCTCCAGATTTTTTTCATCTTGCAAAACCAAAACTGTAAATCCATTAAACAACTCCTCAGTCCTCCCACCCCCAAGCCTCTGGCAACCACCATTCTGCTTTCTCTCTTCTCTATAAAACTTGACTCTTCTAGGTATCTTACATAGGTGAAATCATACAGTATTTGCCTTTTTTGACTGGCTTTTTAATGTCCTCAAGGTTCATCCACATTGCAGCATGTGGCAGAATTTCTCTTAAGGCTGAATGAATGATAGTCCCTTGTATGTGTATGTAACATTTTATCTATCTATTCATTTGTCAATAGACACTTGAGTTGCTTTCGCCTTTTAGCTGTTGTGGATAATGCTGCTATGAATATGGGTGTACAAATATTTCTTCGAGTCTCTGCTTTCAATTCTTTGGGGGTATATACCCAGAGGAGGAATTGCTGGATCATATGTTTGTTCTATTTTTAATTTTTTGAGAAGCTGTTTCTCACAGTGGCTGCACTACTTTATATTCTCAGCAACAGTGTACAAGGCTTCACTTCTCTCCACATCCTCACCATTTGTTTTGATAACAGACATTCTAACCCGGTCATTTATGTCTTTGGAAAAGTATCAATCCAGATCCTCATGAGAGTTCTTTATATTTTGCATTATTAACCTCTTATCAGATATGACTTGCAAATATTCTCTCCCATTCCATAGGTTGCCTTTTCATTTTGCTGGTTTCCTTTCCCATGCAGCTTTTTAGTTCGATGCAGTCTCACTTGTTTATTTTTGCTTTTGTTGTCAAATTAAAAAAAAAAATCATTGCCAAGTCTGATGTGAAAGAGCTTACCCCATTTTCTTCAAGTTTTATGGTTTCAGGTTCTATGTTCAAGCCTTTAATCCAATTTGAGTAAATTTTGTGTATGGTGTAAGGTAGTGATCTAGTTTCATTGAGCAGCATGGCTATCCAGTTCTCCCAGCACCATTTATTGAAGAGACTACCCTTGCCCCACTATATACTCTTGGCTCCTTTGTTATGTCATAAATTAATTGACCATGTGTGTGTGGACTTATTTCTGTGCTCTATTCTGTACCATTGATCTGTGTGTTTGTTTCTATGTCAGTATGATACTATTTTGATTACTATAGCTTTGTATGTAGTTTGACATTAGGAAACATGATGCTGCTTTGTTCCTTCTTTTTCAAGATTGCCCTGGCTATTGGGGATCTTTTGTGGTTCATCTTGAGGAAAAGCACAGAGCACGTATTTCAGTCCTTAATTCAGTCAAAGGGTCAGTAGTGTCCATGCACCTCCAGAAACGGAAAAAACAACCCCACCCCAATGTCAGTTCTTTGCCCAGGGGCAAAAGAACCAGTTTTGAAGGTAATTTCTCCTGTAACAGAACTTCAGAAAGTTCACAGAATCAGAGAATAAGAGTAGGACATTCAAGAGAGACTACTGCTGATAAGTCTTTCTGCAAAATGCTCTTTAAATCCTTTACAGCATGTTGCCGAGTTTCTGTACTTCTTGTAAGGTGAAATTCCTTGCTCCCACCTCTTGTGCAAAGTCTACCTACCAATGCACTAGGAAACTAAAAGATTCTATTATTACAGCATATAAAAATTAGCTGGATGAACTTTCACATTGGAGTGCATTTTTAGAGTGGGTCCATGAAACAAAGGCTGAAAATCCTTCTATGTGCATTTCCACTTACCATGTGTTTCCAAATTTCCTAACTGTGCTACAAATTGCCTCCCTAGTTGAAACATTTAAATACATATTTTTAAATTTCAAAATTTTACTATTAGTAGCAATTATGACCCACTCATAAATGATGGCAACACACCTTATGACACTGTGATTAATGTCTACCAAGAAATAAAGTTAGCTGAAGCTAGCTCACAATAAACAAGCCTAACGATGACCAGTCTGACATTAAACCCAAAGAGGGTATTCTCTGTCCACTATTTGGGTGTTAAAATAGCATTTAGTAATGTGTGTGGAGAGGACCGACTCATTACAAAAAGCCTGACTTTTACTCTTAGTCCTGACAGTAGACGAATTACTGGATTTTCTCTTCTTCCACAGTAACAGGCAAGTAAGCTGCTTACCACCGTCGTCAGGTGGGAAGCACTACGTGGTGTGAGCTCTTGCTGTGACTCTCTTCTGTAACTTCTGCCACTGTGGGAAGCTTAGAACACCTTACACCAAGTGCAAGTCCAGCCGTGGGATGTGCATACAAGTCCTTAGAACTGCCAGGGGGAAATGACAGGCTAGGACTTCAGCACTGTGCTCTGGCCAAAAGGAGAGGTGCGGATGGTGGCCAACCCAAGTCTGAGAATTGGTTTCACCCGATGGAATGCAGTATAACCCTAGGAGTTTTTGTTACGTATCAGTTGCCTGGGTGAGTACTGGAACTGGCCCAAGTTCTTCCTATCCCTTGTGTTTTTTGTGTGTGTATATAGTTTCTTTGTATGAGGTCAACAGGAAGATGAATGCGGGTGACACTGCTCATCTGCTACTTTTTATCCACTTCAAAACTGGGTTTAAGTTTTGAACCCTGGGTGGGATCCTGATTCTGATTAGGGAAAGGCATGAAAAATGTAGGCAACTGCAGAGCCAAAGACAAAAGGCAAACTCAGGTCTCACTTTAGGTCAAGCCAGGCAACCATATTTTAAAAGAAACTTCTCACCCAGGGTCAATGTGTTTCTTCCCCGGTTGAAAAATCACTTACAGAATTTTAAATTCCCAAACAGGTATACAACTCCAGCCTTATGTAAGATCTCGGTGACTGTTAATAACAGGAAACAAGTCTAAACCACTTATTCCTTAAGAAATAAAAATTTCTACAACCATTGTAAATTTACTGTCAACATGCCTGTCTCCTAATCATGATGTTGAACTTCCAAAGTAAATGACCTTGATTTTGACTAATTGCCATTAAGAAAATCCTAATTATGTAACCATTTATAATGTACATAAACTTTCAATTTCTAAATCTGTAAAAAGGGAAAAAGTTCTTCCTGGGTTGTTATTAGGCTTATCCAGAATATATATATATGACATACAGCCCTTGGTCTTACTCAAATGATGTTGGCTGTTATCTTACAAAGCCTCGTTTCTGTGCTGTTAAACAGATATTTGAGCATTGATTGTTTAAAAATAACACATATTACATAACATGCTTCTACAGCTGAAGGGGAACTATGTCTAATATAAAAAACCAACATTTTAATAGCTTTAGGAGAAGCTGTTTGGCTGAAGATTACTGCCAACTCTAAGAGTGCACAGCAAGAGAAAAGCGACTCTCCGTGTCTGTGGCGGACTCGGCACACTGGAGTAGGGGCGCACTGGGGGTGGCAGCGGGGCGGGGGCTGTCAAGAGCCGACTCCAAGTGATAAACGGAGGCAGGACCTAATCGAAAATAGTTGATCTTGATTCACCTGTAGCCAGCTTTTAAATCCCAGTTGCTCAGCTATCTTGTGCCTGACATTCTCCCTCTGATATTTCAGAAATGTCACGTTCTTCATTACATATTCTGAGACTGACAGACAAGGGAAACTTTTTCAAGGACACAAAATATGACACACATTCAGTAAGACTTTTTATTAAAAGTCGAATAACTGGCAAAATGTAGATCATTTTAAAATGTATAAAACTTGGTCAATAATGGCCAGTTCAAGAACTAACAATGTGTAGAGGCTATTTTGTTCGGAAATAGTTTTGTTTTTTTTTTTTTAAATTTTGTTTTGGCTATGGAAGCTGTCTAAAGATTGCCTAACTTTTCCTAATTCAGTTGTACGTAGTATGTTTTTACACTGATGATTACCTGGTTTTGTACTTGTAATTTTTTAAAAAGATTTTTTTTAGAGGGGAAAGGAGGGAGAAAGGAGGGAAGAGAAACATAAACTGGCTGCCTCTTGCACACCTCCCATTAGGAGCCTGGCCCACAAGCCAGGCATGTGCCCTGGCTAGCAGATGAACCAGTGATCCTTTGGCTCTCAGGCTGGCGCTCAATCCACCAAGCCATATAAGCCAGGGCCGCTTTGTATTTTTGAAAAAGGGATTCTTTAAGTAAAATTCCAATCCAGAATTAGGTTTTGCTCCTGCTGATGCTTTTATCATCTGTTACAATAGATAAAGCTAACTGACTTTACTGAAATGAATGTATTTTCTAATTTCTTTTGCTAGGAATGCGGTGTTCTTTCAAAATGTTTATATATTTTCATATTGCTACCTTAATAGTTTTACCAGTTATTACCCACATTGAATTTTAAAATGAGTTTATTAAAGAATGTTATTAGGAAGGCAACGACGTTTGATTTACCATTAAAAAAAAGTTCTGTTTCTTCATGTTGTATAATCAAGGTAATATAAGAGGCTACAGAGTTAGAAGCTTCTTTCTACTGGATTCTCTGATAGAATAGCACAGTGTAGTCATTTCTGTAATGCTAGAATAAATAAAAAAGTCTCTTCTATGCTTCTCTTTAAAAAGTGATGAACAGTAACAGAAGATGGCATAAAAAAAGCCATTTTTCTATTCATTCTGTAGTATTGGAGCCAGTATCTAGGAAACAGAAGAGAGAAAGAATAAATTCAAGGAGCAATTTAATTAGTTTAATAATATCTTAAAATAGGATCTAATGGTGGCAATGGTTTGAGGGGTGGGGAAGAAGAGGGAAGCTGACCATGGAAATACCTTGAGGACTTTCTATTTAAGGCAGAGGTAAAAACACAAAGCTTAGTTCTCCATATTATGCTACAGAAAAACCAAGTTACACTACATTTAGTTTATGTAACTGCTAATGAACTATTTTTTTTCAGGTTCTCCATTGTCCCAAAATTTTAAATCACAAAGGCCATAACATATAATCAGAAGAGAATGGTAATTAATTCCTGGTGAGAAACAGACCAGAATTCTAGTCACCATCACTTTTTCTGTTGTTCCATCAGGAACTTTATTTCAGAAAGCTGACTTTTAGGAAAAATGTGCTTATTTCATAGTGGCACCACATATATTTGATTACTGAGGAATGGTATTTTCTTAATTCCTTAACCATTTATGTTTTAATTTTGGAAAGAAAATTTCTAAGACTGTATTTTTTTTCTGTTGACATAGAGTACATGGTACACAATCTAAGCTTCTCTGGAATACTCAACTTTTTTTTTTTTGAGATTATTACAATGTGTTGTAAGTAGGGCAAACCCTCAGAAGCCCAGCAACAGATAATGCTCATCTGCTACTTTTTATCCATTTAAGTTTGAAAAAACAGACCACCTGTATCTCTAAGGCCACCAGAAAGGAGCTCCTGTAAGTAAAATACATGTTTGGACTCTGATATTATTTACTTTGAGGTTTACCTTAGAGACCTTCTTTACTGACTTTTAGGTTCATACCTGCTTGTCCAGTGGTTTAAAATGACCCTCTACTAGTTTACATCTGTGCTGTTCAATACGGTAGCCACTGGCTAGCCACATGCAGCTATTCAAATTAATTAAAGTTTACTAATAAATCCAAAATTAAAACATTAAATTTCTCAGTCGCCCTAACACATTTCAAATGCTTAACAGTCTTATGCGGCTATTGGAAATTGCAGACAACATTTCCACCAGTACAAAAATTTTACTGAACAGTACTGGGCTACATCATTAACTCATTTTGATAGGTCTAAGAATTTATATATTAATGCCCAGTCTAATAAAAACTTAAAAACCTAAAGGTTACAAGGATGCTATTAGCCTACGTTATAAAAAAACAGGAACAGAAGTATACTTTATCTGAAATACAGAAATGTTATCTTGTGGTCTAGTAACTATAAAATAACATTGTTCTTCGCTATATTGACCCCGTTGGCTCCCACCCCCCAAGAAAATGACTATATTTAAAAGTCATATGCTTTTAAAGTTCTTAGAAAGATTAGTTAATCTTCTGAAAGGTACAAGTCATTCTAACATTGTTGGTTTCAGAAGCTTTCTCACATCTGGAAGAGATTTTCTTTAAAGAGGGCTGAAGGTATAATTCCATGACACCATTAAAAAACAGGTTTAAGAGGAGAGTTAATGACATGTTTGAAAATGATGTATTTGCCACTGTGTACACATGCACACATATATCACTGTAAAAATATGACTAGGTTATACAATAAACATTAAGAGTGATAATGTTATCGCCAGATGTTGTTACAACTGTTCTTCTTCTGGGTGCTTTTGTTGACTGTACATTTTTTCAGTGATTATTTCTTCTAAAACCCAAAGTATATAGAACAAAAGACCCAAACCCATAACCTGAGAAATGCAGGGTATTACTTTCTCTATTTCTCTCTTTTCACAACTCCCCTCCTGGGACAGTGACAGTCTTCTCTATTTAATATCAGAAATGGCGGATTTAAACACAAATGGGTCAGGGTATAAAGTAAAATTAAGTATGTATTTAAAATACAATTAGCAAAAAGAAAGTAACTAATCATGGGACAGAGAGCAGAGATGTAGTTTTTGAAACACTGCATATGAACGAGGACCTGAACAAGTTCTTTGGTCTGCTGTGGAAAATACAGTTGCATGGACATACTGGATTAGAGGAATGGGTATTTACTATTATGATTTTCTAAAGAGAAAAATGTATAGGTATCCATAACATAGAAACCATAGGATAAACTGTCAAAATTAAACATTTCCTTAAAGAAAAAGGAGGCTGTGAAAAAGCCTGGTAAACACTTCAAATTTGAGGCTAAATTTTTTCCCCCCACACAAGTGCAATCTGAAAGTAGTCTACCTGTCCATAGAGGCCTGTCTGAGACCTGGAATTCAAAATCTAGCTGACATAGAAGCTAGATGTCTATCTCAGAGCGGATCACTGACCGTTTTTCACATTAATTTCAGATGAAGATTTTTCTACAGACTCATAAAAACAAGATTTCACGTAACTTTGCTTTCACAGTAATTAGGTGAACACTTACTTTTACCATCACAGGCTACAATTTTCACTTTATCCACTTTAATAAGTTCTGTCACCTCTCTGAATTCAACATCATTCAATACAAAAGTCCAGACATTATCGCAGAATCTGTATGTATTTAGAGAGCCCTTTAAAACAAAACATTTAGACACAATATGAAAAACCATGTTCTGTCGCAATTTTTCTACAAAGCAAGTTGACACTCAGCCACCAAGTACCTAATTCTTAAAATAGTAGGATTATTTATTATGTACCTTGCTTAAGATTTTCCTTAATTTTCATCCTAACAATTAAAAAAATCCCTAGGTAAATATGCTGAAGGAAGAGTTATAAGTTTTTAGTTAGCAGACTATTTTCAGCACTGGCTGGGTCTGCAAATTGCTTACCTGAGATCTGAAGAAAGCTGACTGGAAACTTGAATTTGTATTTCTACTGCCTCCATGTGGTAAAATTATGAAAGTTCATTGGACTTTTTATGTAAAAACTTTTTAAAAGAACATGTTGTGTACATTAATTCTCCACAATTGTACAAAAGCGGGGAGTTCCTGAAACATTAATTTTAATCCTGTGACTTAGCTCAGGTGATTTACTATATTAGTCACTAAGGCTACAATATCATTGTCCTATATAACTGACATCTGACATTCTTATTAAAGGTTTTTTTGTTTGTTTGTTTTTTGTTTTTTTTTTGAGTAGCAGTTTGAAAACTATAACCTGATAGATTACTCTGTCACTTTAAAACCTGCAGATTATTTCAGGTGTTTGAGATAGCCAAACGTACATAGGCTGATTTGTGAAACAATGGAATTAAAAAATCTAAAATAAATTTTCTCTCACATTAGGTGGATAAACTTAGTATCCAGGTACTAAGTAAAAGTATAATTTCATTATTATAAAACATGTTCCAAAATCTGATTGAGCTATTTCTTCCTTTCATGACTAATAAATATGTAAGGGTCCTAAAAAACACTGTTGTAACAACTCTTGGTGCAGGCTTCTAGATTTAGGGAGATACACTTACCCTGAAATTGACTCTGTTTCTGACCCTCTGAGCCAATGCTGAATTTATTGCCTTATCAAACTGAAGTAGAACTTGAAGGGCAAGTTGGGGAGTGATCTGTTGAGACTAAGGAAAAGTAAAGGTCATAAATCAGAACAGCATTAAAGACAAAATAAACAAAAACACAAATTATCATAAAACATTTCCTTATGCCTACCTAGAGCCTCTAAACTAGCATCCCTTTTCCTTTGCCATAAATGACGATTAAGAGGCAAAGCCTGACAATACATTCTTGCATTTCTTTGATACAACAGAACTTAGAAAACATGCAGTGATGTGACAATGCTTTGACAAAACTTGGACTATCATTCATTCCTTCATAGCATCTGGAATGAGGCATTTGTTAAATTGAAGAAACCAATCTTTGAATAAAAAAGATAGATACCTATCTATCTACCTAAAATTTATTATTTTTAGAGCGAGGGAAAGGGAGGGAGAAAGAGAGGGAGAGAAACATCGATCAATTGCGTCTCATATGTGCTCCAACTGTGGACTGAACCTGCAATCTAGGCACGTGTCCTGCCTGGTAATCAAACCAGGGACCTTTCACTTTGTAGGACAATGCCCAAACCACTGAGTCATGCTGGTCAGGGCGAACCAATACTACTGTTAAAAAACCTAATAAATCTTATTGAACCTCATTAAATATAGAAAAACAAATGGAAATACTTAATGTTCTCAGATGAGAGGTTCCTATAAAAAGTTAATTCTCATAATGTTGAAATATAAGTTCAAAATTCTAATTAAAATCTCAAAAGACTATTAAATTGTTCAAATTTATCTTAATGCTACATAAAGCTCTGGCTGGAGGGCCTAGTTGGCTGGAGTGTCATACCCTACACTGAAAGGTTGTGGGTTTGATCCCCATTCAGGGCACATAGCTGGGCTGCAGTTCAGTCCCAGGTTGGCGTGCATGTGGGAGGCAGCCCATTGATGTTTCTCTCTCTCGCCCCACCGTTCTCCCTCTAAATCAGTGGGCATATCATTAGATGAGGATTAAAAAGAAAAAAAAGCTACACAGAATATACCTTTCTTGCACATATGAGGAGAAAATCAATACTCTAATCTTTAACAAAATTATTTGAAAATTCAGATATATGCAACTACTTCATTCAATCAGCATTACCTTTTGTGCCCCATTTTCAGGATGGTATAAATGCACAAGAATTTGAGATTATTAATCTGAATACTGATTTACTGGGTCAAGTAGTCTAAGATATTTAACCTGTTTGTCTGGAATAAGGGATGTAACTAGAACTATTATATACCCCTTTAAATTAAAATGTTGATTTTTTGGTCTCTTACCTGTATGAGCTCATCGAGGCTTTCCTGAAGACTGTTTCCCAAGGTGGTATTTCTGTATAACTGATAGGCCATGGCTTAGAGGAAGAAACTGTTTTTCTTATTCAGTCTTGCATTGATGTCCTAGAAATTTAACATAAAAATATTAAAAAAGAAAACATTATAAGTTATATGTGTAGATAGTCTACTTCCTACATTCTAATATATACCATCAGAATTCTTAGTGATTGCAAATTACTGTATTAATAATTTTAGAATTACAAGGGTTATAAAATGATTTTTCTAATTATATATAACTTTGACACAGGCATTTATACTCCTTTATACAAAGTATGAATATTATGATTATTAAAATATACATCTTTACCATTTCTTTCAAAAGTTTGCCTTTTGACATAGCCTAGCATTTACCACGTACCATTCCCTTCTACTTACTGTCAAGTCACTGATTCAGATAATCTTCAGTGGATATTTGCATGCCTTCCCCTTCATTTTCCTGTCCTCTTAGAATTTGACATTTATAGAGCACTTACCAAGAAGATAATTATTATAGGTAGTAGGGAGAGGAAGATAAGTATACACTCCTGACCCTAAAAATTATACCCTAGGGAGTGTAGCAGACATATAAAAACGTTAAATTGAAAACAGAATAAGAACTGTAATAGAGATATACAGTGTAGTACGGAGGCTGACTACAGACTGAATGATCTAGTTCACAAAAGCTTTAAGAATCAGGCTAGTCTTTAGACAAGCAAAGGAGGACAGTCATCCTAGGCTAAAAAGAATAGAGTGATTAAAGTAATAGAAGGATGAAATAATAGTTTTGATAAGAAGTATAAACTGCTCTGTATTACGAGGGTAGAGATATGAATAGGAAGTGGTAGGAGATGAATTCGAAAAAAATGGCATGGATAGATTTGTGCCATCAAGAGAGCTGCAGGATTTTACAGCACATGTAATGACAGCTACTGAAGCATCCTAGGCAGGGAAGGTCAGACAACTTGGAAGCCACATGAAAAATGTACTTGAGCACAAGATTAGGAAGAGACGAGGATGAGGACTCTGAGAGAGTGTCAGTAGAACAGATTCAACAAATATTTACTGAGCTTCCACTGCATGTCAGGTATAAGATCCCTGACCTGGTGGCACTTTCAGTTAAGAGACAGACAGGAGGAGATACAATCAAGGAGTAACTCGGCAAAAATGGTTCAGTTATCAGTCTTCACATTACACACCTTGTGAGCATTTGACACAGTAGATCATTTCTGATTTCTTGAAGCCTTTTTTTTTGGACCTCATAGTCGGCTCTCTCCTCCCACTTCACTGGATACCACTATTGTATATTTCTCGTTTTCTTTTGCTGGTTCCTCCTCAGCAACCCAAACTCTAACTATCTTAAGGCTTCTTATGTCTTCTCTATATGCTTTACTCCCTTAGTTACCTCATTCAGGCTTATGGCTTTAAATACTATCTGACTGCTGATGACTCTCAAGTTTATATGTCCAGTCCTGACTTTTCCCCTTGTTGCCATATATAATAAAATTACCAACATGACACTGGTTGGAATTATCAAGTAGGTGGCTTAAATTAAATTTGTTAAAACCAAATTCCTGATAATACCCCTTCCCAAACCTTTTCTGCCCTCAGTTTGCCCACCTCAATAAACAGTAAATCTCGTCTTCCAGTAAGACAGCTCCAAAACCTTACAGACAACATTAACTTCTCTCTCTGCACACAATCTGTCAACCAATCCTTTCAGCTCTTCCTTCTAAATATAGCCAGAACCAGACAAATTTTCCCATCTCCACTAACACTAAGTCACCATCATCTGTCACTAAGATTACTGTGATAGCCCAGTAAGGGATCTTCCTGTTTCTACCCTTGCTTACCACGCCCTTCCCTACAAAGCAGCCAAACTGAGCCTTTTAGAACATAAATCAAACCACATTACTCATTTACTCAAAAACCCCAATGCCATCACCCTCAGAGTAAAAAAGTCCTTCTAATGGACTGCAAAGCCTACATGATCTACCCCCAACTCCTCCAGCCCCAACTACCTCTCTGAGTTTTTCATTTTTCCACTTGCTCATACACTCTGCTCCAGACTGGTCCTTTGCTGTTCTTCAATACAGCAAGATGTTCTTGCTTGAGGGACTTTGCATTGGCTGTTCCTTTTGCTTTGAATGGTCTTAGCAGGTACCTACATGGTTCACTCCCTTGTTTGATTCAAATCTTAGCTCAAATGTCACTTCATCAGAAAGGACCTCTATGACCAACCTATAGAAAAGAATTACTTCCCCCTTACACTGCTTTATTCTCATTTACATCATTAATTGAGATTGACCTTATATATACCTATCCTGTTTCCATCCACTAAAATAGATTTTCCATGAAGTTATGTATTTAGCATCTAAAACAATGCCCAGTATACAGTATGTATTCAATATATGGGGTGGGCAACCGTAGGTTTACAGTTGAGTATGCAAAACACTATTTATTCTTGTGTTATTTATTTATTTTTAAAGATTTTATGTATTTTATTTTTAGAGAGAAGGAAAGGGAGGAAGAGAGGGAAACCTCAGTATGTGGTTGCCTCTCGAGCACACCCTACTGGGGGACCTGGCCCACAACTCAGGCATGTCCCTGACTGGGAATCGAATTGGCAACCCTTTGGTTTGCAGGCCAGCACTCAATCAACTGAGCCACACCAGCCAGGGCTCTTGTGTTATTATTTATTAATTACTGTATTGTATTATTTGTATTATGTAAACCTACTTTTTCCCACCCCTGAATTTGTTAGTCTGAATAAACAACATGGCTGCATGTTAAAATGCTAATGTCCTATATTATAAATGTATCTAAATGCGATTCAAAGATTTCTACTTTACTGAGGAAACTGAATGAAAACTTTCAGATTCTCCAAACTACATATAACCATCTACCAATATCTATACCCATATACTTTGCCTACCTGCCTGTCACTAATAGTTGAACTATCCATGCTGTTATCTCAACATAGTCCTTCTATCTGCGCCATCAGCTCCTATCCCCTCTAGTACACTCAAGGATATTGTTCCAGCAATCCAATCATTCCTTCTCTCCCTCACCATCAAATTTCCCATTTCGATGGATCACTCCCATCAGCAAACTGCAGCAACCTTAAAAAAAAAGGTCTCAGCCCAATTCCTTTGCTGGACTCATACACTCTTATTTCTCTATTCCTCTTTGCAGCAAAACTTGTAAGAGTCATCTGTACTCACTCTCTCTCATTCCTTTTCTCTCATTTGCCCTTAAACTCACCCCTCATCGACTTTTGCCTCCAGACTCCTATGAAACAGAAGGTGATGGGCATCAATGGCATTGCTAAAGCTAATCCTCATCTAGTCTTCACCCGATTTAAGCAACTGACACAGCAATTATTCCCTCTTCTTTGATGAAGGATCTTGGCTTAACTTCTGGGACACCATGCTTTTTGGGTTGTTTGTTCTCTTAAACTCACTTGTTCATGCTTCTCAATATCGTTTGTTGGTTGAGTCTCTTCTCCCTGAACTCTTAATGTCAGAAGACGTCATCCTTGGTTATCTGCTGCTTTCTATGCTCATTCCTTAGTGATAACATTTGGTCTCATGGCTTTAAATACTATTGCTGATGATTCCCAAATTCATATACTGGCACAGACCTCTCCCCTGAACTCATTCCTGGATCTACCTGCCTACTCAACATCTCGTCTTGCTGTCTTTCCCGTCTCAGGTGCTATAACTCCGTATTTGTATGGGTTCAGGCAAAAACCTTGGAAGTCCCTTACCCTACTCACTGGCACCACAAGCTCACTTACACATCCAATCCCTAGCAAATCCTGTAAACTCTATGTTCAAAATGCATCCAGAATCCAACTGCTGCTCACCAGTTTCCATTGTTACCACCCTGGTCTGTGCCATTATCAGCTGTTTTGTTTTTTTTTTTTAAAGATTTATTTACTTTTAGAGAGAGAGGAAAGGAGGAATAAAGAGGGAGAGAAACACTGATTGGTTGCCCCTCGCATACCCCGAACCTGGGACCTGGCCTGCCACCCAGGTATGTGCCTTGACCAGGAACTGAACTGGCAGTCTTCCGCCTAGTGTGACAACGCCCAACCAACGGAGCCACTCTGATCAGGGCAATTATCAGCTATCATGTGGATTACTGAAATAGCTTCCTAACTAGTTTCCCTGCTTCTACGCTTGCCCCTACGCTCGAATGCCAACTCAGCAGCCAGGTGATTATTTTTAAAACACAGGTTAGAACATAACTCTTCTCTGCTCAAAACCTCCAGTGGCTTCATTTCACTCGTCCTTACAATAACGTGCCTACCTACTCTCTCTCTGAGTTGCTATACTATCTCTCCCTGTTCTTGACCTTCTCCAGATACACTGGCTTCCTTGCTCTTAGACCATGACATACATGTTCCAGCCTATATAAGCCTTTGTAAAGGCTCTTTTTTCTACCTGGAACACTGTTCCCCCAGATATCCACCTAGTCCTCTTAATTCCTTCAAGTACAGCATGTACTTAAGGAAGCCTAAACTGTCATACTTAAAAACCAACTCCCACCCCCACTCTGAAACTTCCTAATCCCTCTATTCCCGTTAATGTTTTTTGATGGCACCATCACCTTTAAATATATGTAATTTACTAATTTTATGTTTATTTTGTGTATCCTCCAATAGAATGTGAATTCCCCCAGGGCAGGGACTTTTGTTTATTTTATTCACTGAGGTAAACTTGGCATCTAGAACAGCGATTTTCAACAAGTGCGCTGTAAAACAGCCAATGATTTAGTCTGGAGGAGTCTTATCCCTTAGATTGTCATATAAAAAAATGACAAGAGCCAACACAACAACAGCCATCTGGTATGAATGAATCAAAATTACACCTATTTTTTTTTTTTTTGGTCAGATTATCGAAACAAATTTTTTTTTGGCATGCTGCTGAATTTTTGTAATCTTTTTATGTGTGCCATGAGATGAAAAAGGTTGAAAATTGCTACCATAAACCAATGAAACAGAATAGAGAATTAATAAACCCACACCAATATGGTCAGTTAATCTATGACAGACAGGCAAGAAAATGCTGCATTGGCTAAAAAGTTCAATTGTTTTTTTCTGTACGATGGCTCTTGTAGATGCTCAGTTGTCTTTAACTTCATTTGAAACAATTTTGTTGGACTGTATCTTGACAGCTGTCATATCAGTGTGCATTTAAAAAAAACATAAAAATTGGTGAATTCTTATGTAACCATTTGAATATTAAAGATGGAATAAAATATGCAACATTTTCAGCGTGTTCTTCTTTATTATTTCAAGAAATGTAAAAATGTAACCAAAACACACAAAAAATAAAAAGATCTGTGCAGTGTATGGAGAAGGCGCTGTGACTGATTGATCATGTCAAAAGCAGTTTCTGAAATTTTGTGTTGGAGGTTTCTTGTGGATGATGCTCTGCAGTCAGACAGACCATTAGAAGTGACAGTGATCAAATCAAGACATTATTGAGATCAATGTCACGCTATGCGGGTGACAGCTGACATACTCAAAATATCCAATCAGTAAAGTTATTGGTGAAAACGAACGTGTCTTTTATTTTATGGAAAAAACCAACCCAATACAATGGTGTAAAGACAATTTCTTCAATAAATGGTGTTGGGAAAACTAAACATATATATGCAAAAGAATAAAACTGGATCACTTATACCATATACAAGAATAAACTCACAGAAATTAAAGACTTAAATGTAAGAACTGAAAACATAAAATTCCTAGAAGAAAACATAGGCAGTACACTCTTTGATATCACTCTTAATAGTGGGGGTTTTTTTTTTGTTTTTTTTTTTTTTTGTATATGTCTCATTGGTCAAGAAAAGCAAAAGGAAAAAAGAAACCAAACTAATGGAAATATATCAACCTAAAGATTTTTTGCACAGCAAAGGAAATCATCCACAAAATGAAAAGACAACCTACTGAAGGGGAGAAAATACTTGCCAATGATATGTCCAAAAAGGGGTTATTTAATACCCCCCAAATTTAAGAAACACATGCAACTCCACACCCCAAAACCAAACAATCGAATTAAAAAATGCACAGAGGACCTGAACAGACATTTCTCCAAAGAGGACAGGCGGATGGACAACATCACTGATCAGAGAAATGCAAATTAAAACCACAGTGAGATATCATCTCACACCTGTCAAAATGGCTGTTATCAATAAGTCAACAAACAAGTGTTGGCAAGGGTGTGGAGAAAAGGGAATTCTTGTGTACTGTTGGTAGGATAGTAAATTGGTGCGGCCAGTATGAAAAACGGTATGGAGTTTCCTCAAAAAATTAAATAGAAGTAACATGTGACCCAGGAATTCCACTTTTGGGTATTTATCCAAAGAAATCTGAAACACCAATTCAAAAAGAATTATGCACCCTATGTTCATTTCAGCTTTATCTACAATAGCCAAGACATGGAAACAACCTAAATGTCCACTGATAAGTGGGTAAAGAAAATGTGCCACACAGATACAATTGAATATTACTCAGCCGTAAAAAAAGAGTAAAACCTTGTCATTTATGACAACATGGATGGACCGATAGGGTATTAAGCTAAGTCAAATAAGTCAGAGAAAAACAAATACCATATCATTTCACTTATATGTGAAATCTGAAAAATATAATGAACGAACAAAACAGAAACAGACTCACACAGAAAACAGAGTTGTCAGATGGGAAGGGGGTCAGAGGGCTGGGTGGAAAAGGTGAAGAGATTAAGACACACACATTGCCAGTTGTAAAAACAGTCATGGAGATGTAAAGTACAGCATAGGGATTATAGTAAATAAAATTGTAATAACTATGTATGGTGTCGTATGGGTACTAGACTTACTGTGGTGATCACTCTGTAAGTTATATAAATGTCTAATCGTTATGTTGTAGACCTGAAACTAATATACTATTGTATGTCAACTGTAATTCAAAGAAAGTTATAAAAGCAATCTTAAAAAAGAAGAGCTAGAGGCATCAAGCTTCCTATATTCTAAATCTATAATAGTCAAAATAGTATATGCTATTGGCATAAAGACCTAATAGCATATTTCTAGTCACAAAAACATCACCACACTTTTAAATGAAGACCCCAAACACTTCTAAAATTAAACATTGAAATAAATGTGAGCTATACATACATTTAAGAAAGAGTACTAAAAACAACTATGGTCATTATTTCCTAACCTGCTCATTCCAGTTCAGTGTTATGGGTGGACAGAGCATATCCTAGAAGCTTGCGGTGCAAGGTAGGAACAAACTCTAGACAGGACGCGTTTCCATTGTAAGGCACACTTACACATGCCCACACTCAGGCTGGACAACGAAGACACGCCAATTCACCTAACATGCACAGCTCTGGGATGTGGGAGGAAACCAGAGCGCCTGGACAAACCCATGCAGAGATGGGGAGGACATGTAAACTCCACACACATGGTGGCCCTAGCCCTGAATCATTTTTTTTCCCTCATCAACATTACAACCAAACGATGTTATCTGAGGCCCTGCAGTATACACAATGGCTTACTATTCAGCCATAAAATAAGAATAAATCTTTGCCATGATGGACTTTGAGGGCATTACGCTAAGTGGAATAAGTCAGAGAGAGACAAATACTCTATATCACTTATATATGGAATCTAAAAAACAAACCAAACTGAGCTCAGATATAGAGAACAGACTGATGGCTGCGGGGGACGACGAGAGGGATGGTGTCAAAAGGTACAAACTTCTACTTCTAAAGTAAGTCCTGAGGACGTAAATATAACAGAGATTTTCAACTTTTTTCATGTCATAGCACACCAAAACATATATTTTTTTCTGATCTGACAAAAAAGAAAGGTATACTTTTGATTCATTCACATTGGATAGCCATTATTGTGTTGGTTATTGTCATTTTTTATTTGACAATCTAAAGGAAAGGAGGTCAGCACCCCTGGCTAAATAGTCAGGTACTGCATGTTTCTGGTTTTTGTGTTTTTTAAAAAAAATTTTATTTATTTTTAGAGAGAGGGGAAGGGAGGGAGAAAAAGAGGGAGAGAAACACCAATGCGTGAGAAATAAACCAACTGGCTGCCTCTCACAGGCCCCCAGCTGGGGACCTGGCCAGCAACCCAGGCAGTGCCCTGACCAGGAATTGAAACAGCAACGCTTTGGTTCACAGGCTGGCAGGCAAATCACTGAGCCCCATCAGCCAGGGCTGCAAATTTTAAAAATTCTTGTGGCACACCAGTTGAAAATCAATGACATGTAGCATGATGACTGTAGTTAATAATATTGTATTGCATATTTGAAAGTTGCTACGAGAGTAGCTCTTAAAAGTCAACACACACAAAAAAATATTTTCACTGTGGTGATTTCACAATATATAGTGCACCGTATTGAATCACTATGTTGAAAACAATTTAATGTTCATTATACCTCAAAAATTAGTAAAAAAAAATAATATAGCTGTTAAACATTTTTCTTGAATGATCTTAGATTCTTAAAAATTCCTTGTGCAATGTTCAAATATTTCAGATGTGTTACCAGCCATATAAATTTAGTACTCTTTCATTTTGCAGTTTAGAAAATTAAATTACAAGACTCTCCATTTGGAAGAAACTCAAAGTCCTAATGCTTGATCAAACCATCCTGTTAAATTCACTCCTTGGTTGGATGGTTGGAGTTCGCATGAAGTTGGAAGGCGGGCTTCAAACAAGCCATGAAGTACAAGAATTGGACACTTAAGGAATGGACTCCCCCAGTATCTGGCACCCCCCCCCCCCCCCCCAACCCTGGACGCTTTAAGAAATTCACCTGGCTAAAATTCGGAGCTGGGCTGGGGCGTAGGCCCGCCCCCTAGAACCTCTCGGGTGGGCACCCGGCAGAGAACAAGCCTCCCGCATAAACACAACGGTCTCCTTCCTTTCGTTCTCTCGCCTACCCAGTCCTCGGCCGAGGGGCCATCCCGGGACTAAAGTCCGTAAAGGATCGACCCGGGGCCCCGGGAGGTAAGGGCCTCGCCCTCCATGCAGCCCTCGAAAAAGACCTAAACGACCGCAGCCCCAGCACTGGGAGCGGGGGCAGGGAGCGCGGGTACTGCTCATCCAGTACCTGTGAGGAAGGCGCTTCACGCAGTCGAGTAGACAGAACCAGCACGGCGAGGAACCCAGCAGCAGGTACCTACTTCCTCCACCACCTCGCCGGCAGCCGCAGAAACCACAGAACTTGGCCAACGACCCGGAAGTATTCGTAGAACCTGGAAGTGGCGTCACGGCGGGGCAGAGAGCGCCCGCCCACCACCTGCTCCCGCAGAGGACTCGCTTTGCGAGAAAGCGTGGTTGTGGAATAAAAGGGGTGTGGGGCCACAGCTTTCAAGCCCTAGAACCGTGGACCGGCAACCTTTTCGAGAAATTCACTAGGTTTACTAAATCTTTCATAAGGGAATTATAATTTTTAAGAATAACCTCCACTGTTAAGATGCACGATTAAAGGAATGCAGGGCTGTCACATTTTATGCCTGAGGTGCGTTCAGGGTTAGTATGTTGAAGACCTTGCTTGCTAAATTGAAGACAAATTCTGAAAAGATTGATAGCAAGTATTTATTTACTAATCAAAATAGGGCTGCAATTCATTTCGCCAGCAAGCTTTGAGGTTACGACTCATGAAGAATTTTAATTTGTGAGAATTTATATTTACTATTTCTTCCTAATAGAAGGTAAATACTTTTATATTTTGAGTTTATATAATCCCAAATGCTATCCTGGGTATTATCAATAAAAGCAGCAGTATTGTGCACAGCTGTTTGCCATTATGAGACTGACTAGAGATTAAGGAGTGAATGCAAAACAAGTGCTACCTCTGAGAAGGTCTATAGCTAAACAGGTTCTGATTTGTGCCATGTTTTCCAGCCACTTACTGAACTGCTTTCATCACTGGATTCTCCACTAACTAAAATAATTCTAAATTATGTAATATAAAGCTTATTATATTTAAGATAATGTTTACCGGGGGAACACTCTAAAACAGATGACTGTCTAACGAAAAGATTCTAGCAGGTATTTATGTAAGGTTGTATATAACGTGTACACAACTGTCACGTTATATACGACCTTACCAATCTCATCAGGAAACTGGCCTGTTCTACCTGATATATCCTAATGCTAATTTATCTATTAATACATAATACAAAATAATGTTGAATGCAAACTGTAACTGAAAAGTAAACTAAAAAAATTCTTTTCCATTACAGACTCCCACTCGAGATTCAACTTAATGAAATCTTATCAATATTTTAAAAGATCTTAAAGAATTTTAATAAAACTTGGGAATTTTAAAAAAACAAACACACAAAAACAAGGTAATGTTAAAATTAAATGGGTGAACTCTTCACCCCTCTGAACAATAGGAAACACCACCAGATTACAGGAAGAGAATCAAGAGTAAAGGTCTAAAACTATTTGAAAGACAGGATAACTCAGTGCAAAAATTTAGTACCATAATGGAAGACAGAAAAAAAATGCGATAAAATGAGACAAAAACAAACTTTCCAATTAATTTATTTAAATCCATTAACGTTGCAAAAATACGATGTGCAACAGATCAGGACACAAGTTACTGTATTCCTAACAAGTCAAAGGAAAATAAAATATATCTCTTTCGTAAATCAAGACCGATGCTAGTATTTCTTACAGGGACCACATAAACATCTTGCACACACAGTCATCAACGCTGAATTTCTCACACAGTAACATGAAAGTACTAAACTAGGTAGCATCATCTCAATAGTAGTAATGATCACTCTACATATTTGTCTAAATGGCAACATGTGAATCAATAGTAAGAAAATATCTGAATTCTTGAAATATTAAAATGTGTTAGTATTGAACAAACTCTGAATTGTGTTCTATTTGAACGATGCCCCAAGGGCTGTGCAAGTAAGTGGCCCTGAACACTACCAATATTTATTTCCTAGGTGTATGTAAATAAAGCGTTTAAGGGGCACAACTTTAGAAAGTCCATATTCAAAAAGTGCAGTGATGTAGCTAGTTAATATTATATTCCAAGTTCCTCCTTTGCCACACTGAATACAGAAACAAAATTGCAAAATGCAAATGTCTCAACTTGTATTATTAAGGCAGAATCAGCTATCTGAAGCAAACAACTTAATGTAATTATTAATCTGAAAGCATTAAACCTTGATTTTCATCTGGTGTTTGATCTGTTATTAAGTGCTTTACGTGAACCTTTCATAGCCTTTTTTAACTTCTCAAAATATAAAAAATTAAGTAGATCTATCATACAGTTAAAACAAAGTAACAGTTCTGTTCAAATTTTAGTGTCATTCAACACATCTTATTTCAATTACCATTTAGAACTTCAAACAAAAGTTACATTAAGGGACTCACCATTGATCTGACTCTAATTCACTCAGAATCTTGGTGCAGGAAGAGGGGGAGGAAAAGCTCCCTACTTCATTCTTCTGAATCTAGAATATTGAGTAGATTATCTCCCACTTCCCTAACCTGCTGACTTTCTTATACGAGTCTGAGTTCTTGACACTCTCCCAGTGACTTAAATTACACAATTCCTGTTTTCTATGACAAGATGGTCTAACTTGTAAGTATATTAATTCCTCTACCCATCCCATCCTTCTAAGATTTGTGATTTCTCAAAAATCTAAGTATGATAGGAAAAACATAGGCGTGAAAACAGAATGGAGTAGCGATATCTATTTTCAGCCTATCCCCTTCTCCCTTCTGATTGAGCAATGTTAGCAATTTTTCACACATAACACAGGAAAAGGAAAGATGAAGTTACTGTATGTTATATACAACCTAGCAGTCTCATCAGGAAACTGGCCTGTTTTACTTGGTATATCCTAATGCTAATTTATCTGTCAACTGAAAAACATCTAAAAAGCTACTTCCTGTGTTAAATCAAACACTTTCAAATTCCCTGAGCACTCACATAAAAATGGCCAAAGAGTACTGCTACACAGTCATTTACAAAGTCTCCATCAAAAACCAGATCCCTTACCTGTTTAAATTCTGGAATTGCAGGTGAAGAAATTCTAGCTGCTAAAATATACTTGTCAATCAGCAAATTTCAGTCTTCAGTTACTAAATAGTGAAGTCTATTTTAGAAGACTATATTAATATTTACCAACCATGAAATATGAAAAAACCTTGTCCTAAACTTTAATTGTGCACTATAATTGCTGACTCTGTTCAAACTTGCTTCCATATGAAGAGACAAAGAATAGAGGAAAAGATGAATTCTCATCATAGGTATTATCAGTCTTTTCCCCCTTCATATATTCTGTGTATAGCCTACAGGTTTTCCTGCTGGATACAAGAAATGGTACCAACAGCTGCCATGCACAGTACCTCCTGTAGCTGAGGCACATTCAGTGGCACCTTAGATAAGAGATAACTCTTTACCCCTTTCATTTTCTTTCTCTTAGTTCCTTGTTTTGATATCTTCCTTTCCAACTACCTGCTCTACCCCCATCCAAGTTATACTATTAAGCTTAAACTGTGGGGTCAATCAATATAGCATCTTTCCTAACCAAGCACAACACAAATTCCTTTATATTAGAAACTTGACTAAAAAGAGGCACACACACAGTGCTCGAGTATAACAAACAAAAATGAAAGGTGAACCAAACTGACCCAGTTAGGTTAAATCGACCCCAGCAGAAAGATAAAATACCATAAATATATGTACTCTGACTTCAACTGATAGTGGAAAATTAAAATCGAATGATATGGGGGAAAATGTCATAGAGCTACAAATTACAAACAACAAGTTTAATAAATGCTTTCCTTCTAACCTACTAGATATGATCTTAAGTCTTATAATTATGAAACATTTATTATGGGGCACGTCCCTATACCAGATTCCGTTAGGGTGTAGCTAAGAGCCGGTATCCTTTGAATCTAGTGATTCACAGCACATCCCTTTCGTTTTATCCCTGTGTTATATAGGGAACAGGGCTCTGTTCTCTCTGAATTTTAATGTTCTAATAGAATATAGGCTAATTCTACTTAAAAAAAAATATTTAGAAAAACCCACCATTTTTTTGTAACAAGTTTTATCTGTAGATAGGAACAACACTAGCAAAAGGAGAAATAAACAAACACAATAGAGTGTTGAAATCGAAGAACTGGGTATTTGATGTGGAGAAAAACCACCCATTTAATATATCTCAGCTAACTCTGAGCAAGATGAAGATTTAGATGAAAGGCTCCTTAAAAACCGCTCTACAAATACAGACTCTGATCACAATAAAATTCATGTTTGTTTATTTATTTATTCATAATCCTCATATGGTAAGGTTAGAAGGAATGCCTGAGTTATTGTTAATTGACTTTTTCAGTACAAAGTGTTTCTAACATTTGAGCAAGCAATAATGGTTTTGACTTTAGTCACTATGACATTAGTTCAGGTTTTGCCTATAGCTGCTGAATCGGAGGCAAGTCAGGATTCAGCTGAGGAACATATCTAGCGTCTCCCATAATTGGACTGAAGCATGCCAAGTTTATGACTAAAGAGGACAAAAAGTAAAGAAAAATTCTTTTATACAGAAACTTTATACTAAAAAAGGCAATGGTAAAGGCCACATGTATCTTCAGTCTAGGATAGAATAAATCTTGAAAGTTTAGCTCTCATTCACTTCACATTTGCTATTCCAGGACACTCTTTTGTAAATTACCTTATAAGAAGGGCTGGAATGTGGTGTGACTCTCAAATAAGAGGGTACTAAGATTACCAAATATATATGAATCACACAAGTATATGACACAATATTAGACCAATCAGTTGTTTTGGGATGATTCTGTGTGTAAATTTAATTGTTTGGAGGCATAAGTACAATTTATTTCAATGTGAGTCAAGGTACTTATCAAATTAAACAAGGAGTTTATATGCTGTATCAAATGTATCATCCAAAATAGTGTAATATAATGATACTCTAAGATCTAGAATATAACACACCATGTCTGACTTAGGTCAAACACTTACCAAGTTCAAATAACTGATATGGAAGTATTTTGGTAACGTGCCCAGATGAAGAGCAGTTAAAAGAGCAGCTCCTGTTTTCTACAGAAGAGAAGTGACAGTGAATAACTCAGCACATTCTCCAAATAGTACACTGCACTCACACGGATTCAGGAGAGTGATACCCTGGGCACAGCTTATTTCACATTAGTGAACAAATCAAAGATTTTTATAAAGGTTTAACTTTTGGCCAGCAGATAAAATGTCCTACATATACATATACATATACATATACATATACATATACATATACACCTCAATTCTTAGCCTCTTAAATTTTCTACTTCTAAAACTGGCTTTTTAAGTTGTCTTTAAGTTAAAAAAAAAAAGTGTGCAATGCACTTGTGTTTGTGCTTCTGAATTAAGGAACAATATATGTTAACTGATAAAAAAGCTTGGGATGATACTAATCTACTTAGATTATATACATGACCTTTGGGTATTCATGATAACCAGTTGAACTGTCCCTTACCTTATGAGACACTTTATTTTTTAAGTTACCCAGGAAATGCAGTTAACCATTTACAAAACACAAAAAACTCCAACATGCACTTTACAAAATCATAGTCTTATTTACCTGTATATTCTTCTACAAGACAGGTATACATTAAAAAATATTGCTTGAAACATAAAAATATATATTATCTCTTTCCTTTACCAATTAGGCATATAAATATTTTACTGAAGATGCATCGTTCAATAAACAAATGCAAAAACTGCTTTATATAAAGTGTGGTTCTCTTCTTTTAGCAATATAAAATATAAAATGATTACCATATAATTAGCTAGTAAAGAGCTAAATTCAAGAGATTTGCAAACTAATACAGCAGTGAACAGTCCCTTATACAAAAGTCCACTGAGAAAAAGTCAAGTCAATTTTTTAACAGGTAACATAAAAATCTGGGTCGATAAATGCATTATAAATGCAAAAAAGAGCATTGCTTCATCAGTACATTCTTCAGTCTTGTTTGGACTAGATGCCAAACTTACTGTTCACTTTTTGGTTCATCTTGTTTTCCATTAAGCTCTTGATCAACTCTGTTTAATGAAAAACAATATAGATAATAAAACACTAGCAACTGAGTAATTTTCTTCTTAAAAGTAATGATTACTTTTAGCATAGAATATTATTCTGTTAAAAACAAAGCTTTGCCAAAGAAGCAGACATAGTAAAAAGGTTACCAAACATTTCCCCAAGGAAAGATAATTTTTAAAGTCAAGAGGACACTGACAACAAATATAACTGCTGTTTCTTTAAAAATTATAAATAAATACAAATGCACATAAACTTTACAGTTTAAATTACAACAGGCATACTGAAATGTTAAACTGTATCACAGCTGGGGCAGGGATCTAAATGATGAGAGAGTGCAAGAAAACCAATTCTCTCAGAAATGATTTTGTTAAGTGATCTATTAAAATGCCCCTTACAGTCATGCGCCAGGTAACGATATCAACGATGGACCATGACGGTCCCACAAAATTATAATGGAGCTAAAAATTCCTATCACCTAGTGACATTGTAAAGTCACAGCACAGAATGATACAGTAATGTCCTAGGCCTTTACATTCACTCACAACTCACTCACTGATTTACCCAGAGCAGCTTCTAGTCCTCAGGCTCCAGTCATGGTAAGTGTCCTATACAGGTATACCATTTTTTTTTATTTTACAACATATTTTTACTGCAACTTTTCTATGTTTAGATAAACAAACATTTATCATTATTACAACTGCCTACAGTATGTGTAGTATCAGTACAGCTGTATGCTGTACAGGTTTACAGCCTAGGAGCAATAGGCTGTACCATACAGCCTAGGTATGTAGTAGGCCGTACCATCCAAGTTTGTTAAGTGCACTCTTAAGATGTTTGCACAATGACAAAATAGCCTAACACATTTCTCAGAACTTATCTGATCATTAAGTGACGCATGACTGTTGTTCAACATTCAGTTTGGTATCCTCCTTTCTCATGAGTACTCATCATAGAGATTTCACCTTAAGTAAGTTTCCCCACATGTGGCCTGTTAACTTTTGGTTTTAAAAACATACTCCTCTATTTTCTAAAACTTGAATATTATCGTTTTCAAGCTAACAAGGATTTATTATTTTTTTAAGGCTAAACTTTGTACAAAAACTAAGTGCAGTGCCTGAAAGATGTAAGTAATGATTCTATTAAGGTTAAACAAAGTAAGTAAAGAAAAAAAAAAAAAACCCAAGATAAAATATTAATAATAGTGGTAGGTTGCAAACAATACATTTAAATAAAAAGTACAGTTTGACTTTTTTTTCCCTGATACCTAAATTAACAGGTAATTAAATACTAAAAAACTTTGTAAAAAGGCAGAGTATAAGAGATTTCATCAATAAAGGCAATTTGTTTTGAAATCCATGAAGCAGCTGGCTTCAAAATATTCTGCAATTACAGATTATATTTTTAATTTCAACCACTTATCTGGCAAATGCACACCAATGCCTAGAAAGGAATGAGAAATTAGCAAGATCTAAAAATTACTGTCCGTATCTGTTAAAATGTTTGTTAAACTGTAAAGTGTCATATAGAAATGTAAAGCTACTAGTCTCTCACCTGGTCAACTGAATTCTTGCTCATCAACAGAGACAAAATATGCCCAAAGTTAAGAATGTTCCAATTCCAGTTACTTATAATTGGTTCCTTAAGAATTGTCAAAATGATAACTACATATAAATCTTTTACCCTAACTGTTAAGAAAGATTGTAATAAACTGTACTGCTAATTGTCAATATTTTAAAAGTGCATTAACAAGTTAGATCCAAATTCTACAATTTTAAAACTGACTATGTAAAATGTAACTGTTTTATACCCTTGTCTTTCATCTTCTATGCCAAGGTATTAATAGATAATAGTGTTATGCTCAAAGCAGAATTATTCAAAAATTAAATTTAAGATGGAAAGCAGAGTGTTTAACTATTAAATGGTACATTGAACTTTTAGGAATTTTATCACATGTAAAATTTGACTGGTTAGCAGGCCATTTAAGCATATAAGAAATCAATGTTGGTTAGCCAAAGAATATGTGCATTTTAAATACAATTATCAACCCCAGGGATATAAAATAATTTGCTTAAAAAGTGCACAAATAGTTCAAAAGCACAAGTTACAGATTTTAAAAATATGGTAAAAAAGAGAAGTCTTAAAAGTAATTGATTTTTCAAGTAGTATTCTTAGTAATTTCTCTGATTTTTCCATCAGTATTTATACCAAAAAGGAGGGATGAGGGACTGTGGCCTTTGAATCCTAATTTGCATTACATATGGTGTTAAAACAGAGTGAATCCAAGCCACATTCAGCATCAGGTACTTTGGGTCCACTCTGCATTTGGATTCTGGGGTATATTTATATTTATAAATGCCATTATCTTTGTCTACAAGCTAACCAACCCATAAGGAAGAGTTAGTCTGTGCAATGCAAATGGACTAGTCTAGATGCAACCCAGTCAAGGTGTGCATATACCTTTTTTGTTTCTTTTTTAACTTTTCTTCTTCATACCTTGGTAGGGAAGAGTATTTTGGTAAATACATGTTATAATGATAAAAATATTCAAAGAAGGCACTAAAAATAAAACCATTTAAGTTTGCTGGCAAAACCCAAAATATTTAATATAGTAACACAGAAAATCAAAACTGACTTAAAAAATCTGGCTTTGATACATTAAATAGACTAAAATCTCAGATTAAAACAAAAACCTTTTCTACATTACAGCACTGTGATATTCAAGTATTTATGTTAAAAAGCTCTACCAATCCCTTTTAAAAGTTAGACAGAACTTAAGTTGGTAAACAGTAAATTCTAGTCACTTGAAAGTTTTAAGGATATCCTGATCTAAATAATATTTTACTTTTCTAGTAATGTTATTTAATGTCCTAAGTTTTTACTTTAATTACTCAAATTAGGAGAGCAGCATGTTCAAGTTTTGAGAATGTTCTTCAGTACTGACCACATGTCTTAAGACTGTAACCAGTCTTTACAAATATAAAGGAATCACAACCGGAAATGATTCTTTCTATTTCTTCAATTGACAGACTGAAAAAAATGGTGACCTATGGGGAAGGTGCTGGAAAGTAGCTTTTTCTCCTTTTCCTTTGTTATAAAAACAAGAGAAGTTACAAAATATTTATAACATATGAAGTGAGGAAAAAAAGAGTATTAAAAATATTTACCTCTTGCAAATCAAAATATAAAGATCCAATATAATTAAAGAAATAAAACAAAACATACTGTTTTATGCATTCTGGTATGCCAACATATTCCATGGGGACAAGTTCCGCTAGTTCTGCCAAATTAAAGACGTATCTAATTTTTTGGCTGAATTTTGAGCTATGGAAGAAAATAAAAATAATTACCTCAGTATTTCTGACCAATAGAACTGACAAGAAATTCATAAAAGGAGTCTGTGTTTTTGCTTTTTCAAAATGTCAGTGGCATTCAGAAAATTACCTAATAAATGGTCTTGTAACAGCCAGAAGTGTTCTGATAAACCAAGAGGGATGTACAATGATTAGAGATTTTAGGTTTTTCCGTAACCTGGAGTTGAAAAAAAAGAAAATTTTAAAAAGCTCTACACATCCTAATACTAAAAGTTAAGACATTAATGAGTATATGGAAATTTATACAAAAAATTACTTGAAAAACCCTAACCCGATGTGATATTCCTTCAAAGACAAAAAAAATACACTCTTTAATTCTGATGTTCCCTACTACTGCTATGAAATAAACTTTACTTCTTTTGGCTTAATTTATGCATAGCCCTTTGTTAAAATGTCTTCTAGCATACATTCACTTGCCTTCAGGACTCTGTCAACTGTTTACATTTTTCAAGACTGGGAGAAAACTGGTACTAATTTCTTCAACACCGTGAAAGTTGGGAGTGGAGATCACTATTGTAACAGGGAGCATAAATTAGATATTGTGCATTCTTACAAAGTCTAAAATTTTTATTAAAAATTAAAGCCATTATTCTAGACAACTTAAAATGACCAAATAGCTGTTTTATCACAGATATTTCACACTTAAAGTCACCATTAAGTATTTTTTTTTTTTAATCACAAGAGCTGGTTAGGTATGAAGAAAAACTTATTCATGGGTCTGAGTGGATTAAACTAGTTCAAATTATCTATGTTCAAATCAAACCAATCAGAGGATCAAAGTTCCCTTCATTAGCATGGATGACTGACTTCCAGGAGAATACACTTCTAGAGCTCATTCCAGAGGAGGATTATAGCTAAACAAGCACCTTAACATAAAAAATGTTAACACTATAAATTAAGAAAAACTCAGAATGTAATAAAATAGGAGATGTACTAAGTTTTCCATCCTTTCCCAAATGTATATTATAGGGAAATAGTCAATGTATATAAAAAAGGAAAACTAAAGTTATAAAATAAAGTTTTCTTTTGATAAAGTTCTATTATCAAAATGAATTTCCTTCATAATATTCTAAAATAGTCTTGAGAAAATAGAAACTTTCTATGAAATTAATAAATGTAATTTAGAAAGTGTACACACGGTACCTTTAAGTGGCAACAGAAAACATTCTACGATAAGAAGGCCATTTTAAAACTTACTCAGACTAGCTTTCAACTGGTATTTATAGTACCTTCTATCAATTTGCTGATAGCATTTCCTGAGCCATCCCAGACTAGGCATTTTTCTTCGAGTTGTTGCACCATTTAAATAAACTATCATGTAGTTTTCTGCTACTAACAGCTCCAAAGTGCCAATGACATACCTAAGAAAACAAATTAAAGCCTTAAATACAGTTTTGCAGAACCAAACTAGATTATTCATATTATACAGTTCCCTTCACTCTCCTTCAATGATAGCAAAAACAATTACAATTTTAACACTTCATTAGCTGGTATAATGATCATGTTAAAAAGTTCTTTCATTTATTTATAAAATACATTTACTGAGGTAACACTGGTTACCTTTTAGAAATACATATTGAAATGTTTATAGATGAAATGACATGGTATCAGGGATTTGCTTCAAAATTATACAGTGGGGGAAGTATAAATTGTGGGAATAAAGTACAAATTGATAATTGTGTAAGTGGGTGATTGATACACGAAGATTCAATATACTGCTCTCTATCTTTGTCTATGTTTGAAATTTTCCAAAACAAAGTTTTAAAAAACTGCACTAACTTGAGAAATAAAATGACTTTGTGGAAATACAATAGAATGGAGTAGGCTTAGTTACATTTGGCTTTCTGGAGATAAGTGTAATTTAGCCATATAATTGTGAGAATTAAAAAAAGTCACTTGTTTATACTCAGTATGTTCTTAAATGCATAATGAAGAAGTTAAAACAGATAATCTGAAATACCCCTTCCAGTTTTAAAATAACAATTCTTTTTTCTGTTGAGTTGGGAAATGAAGAGTTTCATAATGTTAAAGAGTAAGTACCAGAACTTGGATATTTATAATTTTTACCCAGCTAAACTTTACTTCCTTCAACTGGACATCTAATTAACTCAGAATTCTGTCCAAACATTTCTGTGAAGATATACGTACTTAAAGAGATTGTCCATCAGGTATCTATAGTTAGGTTGACCACTTTCAGGCATAAAACAGACAGCAAACACAACAATGGCATTTAATCCATCCCCATAATATCCTGAAAAGAAATCAAAGATAAAAACACCAGCATGATTTTACTCTGAAGATTTTTCAGAGGACATCTATATGGTTGTTAGAGTATAGTGGTTTATTTTTCAAACTTCTGGATCAAAAAGTTTTGGTTTTTTTTTTTAAAGATCTTTAAATTCCCTCTTGTCAAAAAGAGAACACCAAAATCTGAAGAGAAAACGGAGGGCATAAAAACCAGAAACCCACTTAAACCAGCATAATAAAAAAAAACAAAACAGACTTATTTAAATAAATAAGACAAATTCAGTGTTATAATCCAAGCAGACACAACGCAACAATATCTGCAATAAAACATTCTTATGCAACTTAGGTTAAAGCAGGTGCTTTTTAAAAAAGTTTTACATTCAACATTCCTCAGCATTTGTAGATTTTATGCTGTTAATACCTAAGAGAAGACTGTATCTCTGACATAATTCTAAGAAAAACAGTGCTAAAAATGTGTATTTTTGAATTGTAATCTAGATATTAAGTTGTATTCAATAACACTATTTTTGCTTTAACTTCCATTTCTATTATTTACAAACACTGAAAAGGTTTGAACATTTCAAGTATATTAGAATCTTTACTTAACCCCTTAACCACAAAACATATTTTGATAAATTCAATGGGATATGATGGCACTAAATTTTTCCTGTACGAAAAATAAAGTATTATCTCTGAAAAATATTGTGTTAAAACCATGAAGTAGGTCTCACAACCTGCTTCCTATGAACTAGCAGAACTAATGCATCTGTGGATTTCCTAATCCAGATTATTACCCCCCCATCTGAATAAGAATAAATTAGGCAGAATAATGTAACTGCAATTATTCAAGTGATTTGCTTTCAGATGAATGAAGACTATAGAAATAAACAGCGAGGTAAATGTGCCACAGTAAATTAAATGGAAATTAATTATATGTGAAACAAACCGATCAGTTTAACCCAGGTGGCCCCCTGCCTGCAATAGGAGGATTTCAGGTAATACGATATGCTCTACAGAGCGAGTTGCCTTTTGGCTGCCACTACTACTCTGGCACTATTTACACGAAGCCGAGGTAAATAAAGTTCTATATACAGCACATTCAGACTGACAGAAGTTTTAATTGTACATCATAGCTTTATCTATTTTGACTTGTAAGTTTCTTAAGGGAAGGGACAAAGCCTTTTATTTTTGTATATCCCAAAAATATGCAAAGAACGTGCTCCATAAAAATATGGGTTGAACCGGTTCTCTACTTCATGGTAAAGATGAATGATGTGTTCAGGGTTTTTAGGTAAAGTAAGAGCCATAGTTTAAAAAGCCAGGTTTTACTTGTATCCACAAAAGACTGTTCAACAATGTTCATGATAGTTTTAATCATAATAGCTCAAACTGGAAACATCTCACATACCCATCAAAAGAAAAATGCTAAGCAAACTGTGGTTTACCCATGCAATGGAAAACCACTCCGCAGGAAAAAGGAATGAACCATGGATGCATACAACTATATCAATGAATCCAGCAAACGTTATGCTGAACAAAAACAGACCAGAGACTATACACTATGTGACTCCAGTTACATGAAATACGAGACCAGGCAAAGCAAATCATGGGGTATAAGTTAGAATAGTGGTTACTGGAGAGGTAGACCTTGGGAGGGAGTATTAGAGAATTTTCTAGGATAGTGAAAATGGTCTACATGTGTAGGGATATAGGCTACATGGGTATTTATCAAAAACACATTGAACTGTACGCTTAAGATTAGAACATTTGTAAGTGAAATAACATAAGTCACAGAAAAAAAAGTTAGAATAAAGACAGATATGGTCACTTATATGTGGAATCTAAAAAAGCTGAACTCACAGAAACAGAAACAGATAGAATGGTGGTAAGGGGCTGAGGGAAAAGGGGAGATGTGTCAAAGAGTACCAACTTGCAGTTAGAAGGTGAATAAATTTTGGGAATCTAATGTACAGCATGATGACAACAGTTAATAATTCTGTATTACGTATTTGGAAGTTGCTAGGAAAGCAGATTTTATTTTATTTATTTATTCACTCATTCATTTACTTATTTACTCCTTACTGGGTGACATGCTCACTGATTGTAGAGAGTGGGGAAGGGAGGGAGGGAAAGATGGAGAGACATATTGAAGTGAGAAACACTGACTGACTGGTTTCCTCTCGTATATGCCCCGACCAGGGACCAGAACCGCAACCTAGGCATGTGCTTTGACCTGGAATCAAACCTGTGACCCCTTGGCCCATGGGACAACACTTCAACCAACTGAGGCACACTGGCTAGGGTGAGAAAGATTTTAAAATTACCATTTCTTTTTCTTATCACAAAAAACAAATGGTAATTATGTTATCTGATGCAGGTTAGCTAAGGCTATGGTAGCAATCACTTTACAATATACAAGTGCATCGTACCTACATGCTATATACATCCTCAAACTTATAATACAATGTTATATGTCAATTATATTGTAGTGAAGCTGGAAAAAAATTTGCAAGTGCTACAAAAATGGATTAGAACATTTCACTGCATATAAATTATAAATGGATAAAAAGGGGAGAAAGTCTTAGTTTTGGGGGGCAGTATCAAGACGCAGGGGGGAAGGAGAGTTGACATTGTACACTGTTACACCTTTTGAACTTACTATTTGCGTGTATTAATGATTTTTAAATGTTGGCTTTTGTCCTTTTACTTCAAACTTGTTATGTTTCTAAAATGACATGATAAATGTTTACTATGATTTTAAAATTATGTAATAGCTCAAGGGAGAGTTTCTTCAAGCATTTAGATTTCTGGTACTGCACTAAAAAGATTGGAACAATCTTTGGTAATTCTTACCTCCATGACTGATAACCTTTTTGTAGGGTTCAATGGCCTTCATGTCAACCCTGTGGTCTTGTTCTCCAATTCTGAACATTCGCCAGCGTCGTCCATCTTCTTTTTCCTCTGCTGCTGTGTATTCGGTAATTGAGCCTTTCCTGATAACTTCAGTAGTTTTGGGTTTTGGAAGATCATCTGTTAAAATAAAAAGTTTTGAATCCCAAACTGTTATTTATACCACAAAAATAAAACAACATGTTAACCACTTTGCTATCTAATTAGAATGTTTGGAGAATTTTTCATACTTCATGTGGAATTTAAAATATTTCTTCCATAATAGAGTGAAAGGCTTGCTCTTGATATGAAGTCATTTTACGCTTTTGGAAATCATGGTTCTTTAACTTTTTTTGTATTGCTTAATTCAGAAAAGACCTAATCACAGTACAAGGTACACCCACAAGTTCAGAAAAAATAATTCATACAGCCATCAAAATCTTAGCACATTGGCCCTGCAATGCCTTTCCAATTCTGTTTATGATAAGATTGTCTTTGACAGTTGTCAACACTGCAGGTTACTTAATTACCTAGCAGACAATTATTTTTTGTTGATGTTATGTTATGTTATGTTATAAGAACATAAGTTATTCCCCAAACATTGTGGTACCAGTAGAAAGTGGTTAACTAGTTAATGATTATTTCTCATTTGATCAATTTTTTAAGAGGAAATTTATTGATAATATTCTGAAGTATACATGCAAAGGTATATTTTAAATTGACATTAGCCAAAGCATAAGTACCAATGATTAAGTGTAATTTGTATTTCAAGATTACATTTTAGCTGATTTTTAATGATATAATGATTTTCAAAATTTTAGTATCATAGTCCTTACCAAAAAGATGGGGGGAGGGGGAACCTACTGCATGTTAGTTGTTTGTTTCCAAGATAAAGCTGTTAACGGAAAATATCCTTCCAGGAAATGACTACAGCAGCATTAAAGAAAGAAGAGACAAAACACATAGGCAGAAAACTGTTTCAGTATCTTTATAAAATATTGCTTATTACTGGACTGCTTATTGAACCAGTAAAACAGGGAAGAAAAAAGGAACAAAAGATACAGCATATCAAGCGATCTTACTCTTCATTGCAGGTAACATACTTAGTACTAAACAGTGCTCTGAAGTAAAAATCATTTTAAAGATGGAATATATATATAAAAATTATTAACAACACAAAGATGCTGTATACAATAATTATCTAATTAAAGAAAGCACGCGAAGCAAAACACATGCAAATTCCTTTGGATTCCAAATAACAAATGATGAGGTATATAAAGTTGGGGGCTAGAGTACACAGTAATTCAAGCTGGTTGTTTACAAAGTACAGCATTATCAGGCAAACCTGTTTTAAAAAAATCACCCTAAAAAAAATTCCCTTTGGAACTCCCCCTCTGCAAATCATAAACTACTTTTAGCACATCTCCTAAAGTACATTTCTCTTTAAAGCTTTTTTCCCCCTGCTAAATTGAACATAAGAATATGCCATAATTATATCAAGCAATATTTTGTGAGCGACCATGAAAAAAATGTAACTTTACAGCATTGGGAAGTTTAAAAAATAAATAAAGCTACCTGTGTAATCTACTATAAATAGTTTGAAAGCCATGAGAATATCTGTGGTAGCAGAATTTCACATTTTAGTAAAAAAATACATAAACTTTTTCAGGAATAACATCATATTTCAACAAAATTCCTTAATCATTTACTTTTAATTGGTTTCATGATCAAATCTTAAGTTTTTTCAATTATCCTACTATGAGAATGAAAAACATGTATGTATATAAAGACAAACATTCATTAATAAAGGTCAGATAAAAACAACAAAACATTTACCTTCCCACTCAAATTCATTACTGTTCTCTGATGGGGTGTCTAAGCCATCTAAGTCGATCTCCCCACTTTCATCCAAATCATCTGACAAGACAGAGCCATCACTAGGATCCAGGGTCAGGCTAATGTCTGGAGCCATTAGTTTCTTTTTCACTTTATTTCCATTAACTTCTAGTGAGCCTGGAATGGGTAAACCAAATAAAAAATATGTATTAGAAGGAACGCTTAAATGCCCACTTGATCCTTCAAAAAAACCAAACCAAAAAAAAACAAAACAGTAATTAAATACAATCCCAAAGCAGTAATTTACAACTCTGGATTTTGATCACTGTTGCTTCTACATCATAGCAAGACAATGTATCCCAGGAAGGGGTTATTTTTAAATAACAGAGAAAGATCTCATAGTCACCTCTTACTACTAAAAATGATTTCTCATCCTTGTAGTGTAGAAAATTACAAAAACCTGCAAAGTATTCCAAAACTTTTCCCCTCGACATTCAACTTATCCTTTGGCTCCCTGTGATGGCACAACGGCCAAGTATTATTTTTTTCCTTGACAAAGAAATGTGTTCAAAAATAGCACAGTTACAGTTTTATCATTTTACTGAAACTAAAAGTGTCAATCAAGTACTTACCAGGCTGGCTCTCTGGTCCAGTTACAGCTAATGTATCTGCTTCAATACTATCATCTTCTGGTAAAGGTCTAGGAGACACAGACATACTTTTTAATTTAAAAAAAATAAAATTTGTTTTTTGAAGGTCAAAACTCTATTAAAAATAGCCAACAGAAACAATTATGTGGAAGACTGAATAAAGCAGTATTTCTTAAGCTTTAGTATTTTACAAACCACTTTTCCCTATGTAACTGCCCTTAAATACAATTATAAAACAAATACAAAAATTATAAACCTACAAAACAAATAGAATTCAAATGCATGAATTTAATGTGATATATGATACAATGTATGATGAAGCTAAACTGTTACTCACAATGCAAATATGGTAATGACAGCTACAATTCTTTTGAGTATGAGCATCTCCATATCACTATTTTCAAGTACTATGCAATGACTCAGTATTCCCACCAGCCCCTGGCAACTGCTAAGGGACATTACTGTGCACTGGATGGTTTTCTGACCATGATGACATGTAAACATCATTTAAATATAAGGCCTGCAAACCATGATGCTGAATGTCTTAAACTCAGAGTGATGTATGTCAATTATTTCTCAATAAAATCAGAAAAAAAATCTGCCTTTGCTCTTCTTCTATCAACCCAACGGGTGCCAATATAATTGCAAATACAAATGCCACTCTGTCACGGTAGCTGGCCAGATGATCTAGGAAATCCTTGCTTATTTATGTAAGAAGTTGTTTTTTTTTTTAAATGACAGTAGAACATTATGCCCAATATTCATTTAATAGATGACATCACAATACAGAAATTTTGAAGTGTTTTCTAAATTTGTTTTCATTTAAAAGCATTGCTCACATTGGAAAATCTTCATCCTGCCATTCTTCCTTAAGTTCCACACCTTCCATCCTCAGCTTGGACTCAATGTCAACTACAAACCCCTGATAATCCACAGAACCAATGTCCTGTGAAAAGAGAAAAAAATTATGTAACTTATTTTTCATTTTACTTTTTATTGGCTGAAAAGGTACAATAATCTTATACTTCAGTTCATACCTCAATGGTCTGGTCATGAAATCAATTTACCGGGTTGTGACCACCATTTAAAAAAAAATAAACAAAAAATAGTCAATATATGTTTGTGTGTGCGCACACAGGTTTTCAGTTGCAAAAATGCATGTGTCCAAGGTTGTGTTTTAAAATGGGGTGGGAGCAAGGATAAAAGTAAGTAAGTATGTTCTCTATTCTAGATCCACACAGTTTCTGTCCTCCGGATAAAGGTTGATTCTAGAAACTGAGCACTAGGAACTAGCATTTATGTTCTCATGACTCTGCAGAGCCAAGTGCTGTGTTGTCATTCATATTTCCTTTTCTGTAGTTTCAATAACCACAGTTCCTGAGCCATTTAAAGAACTGTCGGCAACTGTCCAGTAAATGGATTATGCTACATTTTGATTTGCTTCATATCTGCACCAAGCTTTTCTCTCATATAGTTCAGCATACGTTTTCACACACTGAACTTAGGGAATACTTTTGTTCATGGAACTACATGTTTTAACTTAAGCCATAAATTTTAGTTTTCCAAGGAAGAACGTGGGTTCTAAGGTCCTCATTTTACAAAGTGAGGAACTTGAAGATTGTTTTGGTTGATGGAATAAGAAATGGTGATTTAAATATAGAATAAAAAAATAGAGGTTTAAATATATTATTTAAGGAGGTATGAAGATGAACTGGTTAACAGTGCAACAAAAATTGTGACAACTTTAGGGGGCAAGAGGTATACATGAGTATTTAGTTCACTTACATGACAGTAAATGAAGTCTAAACTTATGTATTTAAAAAAGCAGTAAAACATGTAGTATTTCTTAAGTGAGAAAGCAACACAAAATATCATTTGAAGGCTTAAAAACAAAGTTAAAAGTAGTTTCCACCAGTTAAAGCAACCGTGCTTTTGTTTTAGAAGACTAGCGTTTAAGTGAATGTGAATGGCTCACACCATTTCTTGGAAGGAGGAGCACGGGATGGGGAGAATGACTGATTCTTTTCATAGTAAATCTTTTTAAACTATCTGACTTAAAACCATGTATAAATAACTTTAAAAAGATTTATCATATAAAACAAATGGTATGAACCATTCACATTCACTTAAATGCTAGTCTTCTAAAAAAAAGATGGTTGCTTTAACCGCTTTGTCATTATAATACACATAAGATGGACAAAGTTGTTCAGAAAAAGCATCATGTTTTAAAATAACAAAATTACGGTACATTGGAAATTTTCTCAAGTGTTAGATTTTACGTGATGAACTATATTCATGTTTCTGCCAAGACTAAGAGTCTCTCTTCTCGGTTTGAATTTCTATTTATGCTCAAGAGAATGCTTCAAACATTCTCAAAAGGTTTAAATTTTTGAGGACCCAACTGTTAATATAGAAAAATGGTAAATGCTGTCTTTCCCTCATCAACATACTTGCTTCAAAAAGTTAATTTACATATAGGAGAAAGACATTTTTAATTCTCTGGGAAAAGAGTGAGTCAAGCAATTTTGAAAACTAAAAAACACAAAGTACAATAATCTTGATGTATTTCGCAGGTTCTGTTTTCCTTATAGCCTACATTTTGAAGTGTTAGCATACATCTTCAGTGATCACTTCTCAGGTTGTTTTCTGATAGCAACTACTCCCCCTCTCTGTAGAGAGGAAAATAAACAAGAAGGGATATCTATGTTAACAAGCAACCGTTTCTACTTAGAATACAGCACTAGTAAACAAACTCAAAATTATGGCCAAAAAGTCCAAATATTCAATACTTATTACTCTAGAATTATGCTCAAGTGAGATGGAAACATTGTATTATTAAAGGCTGAAAACTGACGGTCTCTTCCAAAATTTTAATTTACTACACTTCTCAATGTTTTCTTTTTTAGTATTTATTGAATGTATTTGATACTCTTAAGTGAATATATTTCCCTAAAATCAATAGTCAAAAAGCATTCTATTATTTTGTCTCTTTTTTACTGGGTGTTGGGAAAATATCAGGATGTTCTGAGTATCTTTCTTAAATATCCCACATACTCAGAAAAATATTTAATATTTCAAAAATAAAAGCACTCACTCAAAGTTCCTACCACTGTATTGCCAACACCCAGCAGTGTCTGGCACAGAACAGGCCTGCAAATATTAGTTAAATGAGTAAATATTTAATTGTAAGGTATGACACTGGATAGGAAGCCTATGAATTGCTCAACCTCTTACACTTATTTTTCAAAAATTAAATTTATGGAGGTGACATTAGTTAACAAAATCATATTATGCTTCAAGCATACATTTCTATGATATATAACCTGTATATTGCACAATGTGCCCAAAGTCAAATCATTTTCCATCATCATATATTTGGCCCCTTTTACCCTTAACCATCCCCTTTCCCCAGTAACCACCATACTGTTGTCTGTATTCATGAGTTTCAGTTTTATATCCCATGTGAGTGAAATTACATGATTCTTTTTCTGACTGACTTATTTCGTTCAGCATAATATTCTCAAGGTCCATCCATGTTGGCAGTATTTCATCTTTTCTTACGGCTGAGGAGTATTCCATAGCATATATGTACAACATCAATTTTATTCACTCCTCTAGCACAGGACACTTTGATTGTTGCCATGTCTTGGCCACTATGAATAATGCTGCAATGAACATAGTGGTGCATATATATTTTGTAAAGAAATGTTTTTTCTTTGAGTTTTTTGAGTAGATACACAGAAGAGAGATTCCTGGGTCATATAGTAAATCTATTCTTAATTTTTTGAGAAACCACCACACTGTTTTCCATACTGGCTGTACCAGTTTGCATTCCCACCAGCAGTGAATGAGGGTTCCCTTTTCTCCACAACCTCTCCCAACACTTATTACCTGTTTTGTTGATAATAGCCACTCTAACGGGTGTGAGGTGGTATATCATTGTAGTTTTGATGTGCATTTCCCTACCAGTAGTGAAGCTGAACATCTTTTCATATCTGTTGGCCTTTCGTATGCTGTCTTAGAAGAAGTGTCTACTCAGGTCCTCTGCCCATTTTTTCATTGGATTATTTGTTTGGTATTGAGTTGTATGAATTCTTTACATATTTTGGGTATTAACCCCTTGTCAGAGCTGTTGTTTGCAAATATCATCTTGCACTCAGTGGTTGCTTTCCTTTTCTTGTTGGTTTGTTTCACTGTGCAGAAGCTTTATAGTTTGCTATAGTACCATTCATTTATTTTTGCCTTGAGTTCCCTTGCCTCTGGGATCAAATACATAAAATGTTCTCTATGACCAAGATCTGTAAGTTTAGTACCTATGTTTTTCTCTATGTAATTTATTTTTTTCAGATCTTATATTTAGGTATTTGATCCACTTTGAATTTTTGAATATGGGGACAAACTGTAATCTAGATTCTTCTGCATGTTGCTTTCCAATTTTCCCAGCACCATATTTTGAAGAGGGCTTCAAAACAGCCAAGTTATTGTGGAATGCCTTTTTCCATGGTGTGCTTTTGGCTCTTTTATCAAAAATTATTTGCCCATTGGACCCATATGTGGGTTTTTTTCCTGGTCTCTTAATTCTGTTCCATTATTCTGTGTGTCTGTTTTTTCTGCCAGTACCATGCTGTTCTGATTATTGTGGCTCTGTAGTATAATTTGAAATCAAGTAGTGTGATACCTCTGGCTTTGTTCTTTTTTCTCAGGATTGCTCTGGCTATTTGGGGGTCTTTTGTGGTTCCACAGAAATGTGTGTTTTTTTTGTTCTATTTCTTTATAAAAAATGGTATCAGGATTTTGGTGGGGATTGCATTAAATCTGTATATTGCTTTGGGTAATATAGTAATTTTAACTTCATTGATTCTTCCAATCCATGAACACAAAATATCTTTCCATTTCATTGTGCCTTTTTCAATCTCTTTTAACAATTCTTAGTTTTCAGTATATAGCTCCTTCACATACTTTGTTAAATTTATTCCTAGGTATTTTATTCTTTTGGTTGCAGTTGCAAAAGAAATTTTTTTTCATCTTTTTCTGAAATTTCATTGTTAGCATACAGGGAAGCTATGGGTTTTTGTATACTGATTTTGTATCCTGCAACTTTATTGTATCTGTTTATTGTTTCTAATAGTTTTTCTGTGGAGTCTTTAGGATTTTCTATATACAGAATCATGTCATTTGCAAAAAGTAACACTTTGAGATCTTCATTCACATTGTGGATGCCTTCTATTTCTTTCTCTTGCCTGACTGCTCTGGCTAAAACTATGCTGAGTAAGAGTGGTGAGAGTGGGCATCCTCGTCTTGTTCCTGATTTCTGAGGAAAAGCTTCCAGTTTTTCACCACTGAGTGTGATACTAGCTGAGGGTTTGTCATATATGGCCTTTATTATGTTGAGGTACTTTCCTTCTGTACCTATTTTATTGTTTTAATAATAAGTGATGTTGTATCTTGTCAAATGCCTTTTCTGCATCTATTGGTAAGATCATATGATTTTTATCCTTTGTTTTGTTAATGTGGTGTAGTACATTGATCAATTTGCATATGCTGAACCATCCTTGTGCCCCTGGAATGAACCCCACTTGATCATGAGAGGTATCAGTCTGTAGTTTTCTTTTTTGTGTCTTATGCTTGCTAGGTTTTGGTATCAGGATTATGTTGGCCTCATAAAATGTGTTAGGGAGTATTGCCCCTTAAATTTTTTGGAAGGGTTAAGAACAGGTATTAAGTCTTCTTTGAATGTTTCGTAGAATTCACTAGTGAAGCGATCTGACCCTGGGTTTTTATTTTTGGGGAGGTTTTTCATGGTTGTTTCAATTTATTCCCTGTTGATTGGTCTATTAAGATTTTCCAATTCTTCATAATTCATCTAGGAAGGTTATATATTTTCAAAAACTTATACATTTCTTCTAGGTTACTGAATTTGGTGGGATACAGTCTTTCATAGTATTCTAGTATGACCTTTATATATCTGTGATGTCTTATTAAACTATATGTATACACACACACACTCCCTGTTATGTTTCAGCCCCCAAAAGGTATAAGGAAAATATCTGGGGCAACCTACATACTTGCAACATCAATTTCTGTTGGTAAAATTATGCCTTGTTTGTGAGAGAAAATATACAGAAATTATAGAATACAAACCATGTATTTCAGACGCTTTACCCCTTGAACAAGTATATCATTAGAAAACAGCCCCTCTAAATATAGCAAGCCTGAGTATTTCAGCTCTTTCATTCAATTTTTACTTTAATAGCATATTGAATCATGTGATGTTAACACATCACAGAGCATGAACATGGATATTTAACTTGGGGATAATTATGCTAGTTAAATTAAACCTAGGAGGAAAGATAAAGTTAGATTCACCATTTTATCACAAACTTTAGGAGAAAAAGTACACTAGCTAGGTAAAAACAGTTGAAACAATAGAAAGCGTACTGCTTTTGGAAGCACTTCATCATCAACAGCTCTAAGAACAGGAAACAAACAAGAAAGGAGCAATATAAAAGCACACCCGCTTTGAAGGAAACCAGGATATTGCTGACTTACAAGTTAACTGTGGCTGCTTCCCATTTTTTGTTCATAGACTTTAAATCCAAATGAGGAAATAACACTTTAAGATACTATTTGTTAAAATAACCCAATGCAACAGGAATAACCCAGTTTCTCAACAGACTTGCGGTAGTTGTGGCACATCATTACTTATGCCAGTTATGAGTGGACGTCACAGAGATAAATGCAAAATTGTCGTTCATCTTGGTGAGGTTAAAAATCAAGGAGGTAATGGATTTCCTACTGACACACAACCAAGAACGGGACTTCCCCATGCAGCTTAGCAATATAAAGCAAAAAATACATATTAACTATTATGTAGCTTAACATTGCTTCTGGCATAGGTGCTAGTAACCACATCCATGCGGAAAACAATTCCAGTGGGCAGAAGGAAATGCCCAGGCAAGGGCTTTTCACTTCCCCATTTAAGCGAAAGGCATTCATTCTAAATATTTATGTTCACTTTTTCCTATGAGGTTGGCAACAATGTCAGCATGACAGGAAAATAATTTAGGCCATCTTATGTGTTTACGAAGATCATCAAGCACCCCTGGAAAAATCCTATTTGCTTTCTGGTCACTGCTTCCTTGAGAGCAAGGACACAAAATCACTTCACACCTGTTAGAGTGGCTATTATCAAACAGACAAGAAATAACAAGTATTGGAGAGAATGTAGAGAAAAAAGAACCCTTGCATACTGTTGGTGGGAATGTAACCTGGTGCAGCCACTATGGAAAACAGTATAAAAGTTCCTTAAAAACATTTAAAAAAGGAAGGAGATGGACCTTGAGGGCATTATGCGAAGCAAAATAACTCAGACAAAGACAAATCCTGTATGATCTCACTTACATGTGGAATCTAAAAAGCAACAAAAAAATCCCCTCGAAACAAAAAAATCAAAACTGAGCTCACAGACAGAGAACAAACTGGTGGTTGCCAATGGTAGGGGATGGGAGTGAGAACGGGGTACTGGGGAAAATGAGTGAAGGGGGCCAAAAGGTACAAAATTCTATTATAAATAAGTCCTGGGGATGTAACATACAGCATGGTGACCATCATTAATAATACTGTATAACGTATTTGTACGTTGCCGAGAGAGCTCTTAAAAGTTCTCATCACAAGAAAAAGTTTTCTAACTATGAGTGGTGATTGATATTAACTAGATTTGTGGTGATTATTTCACACTATATACAAATATCAAATCATGTTGTATATCTGAAACTAATGCTTTATGCCAATTATACGTCCATTAAAACAAAGAATAAAATGAGATACTCGCTATCAGAAATGTTAACACAAAGTTCAGGGAATATTACAATGGTGCTGATATTTTCTCAAAATTGTGAAAATAGAGCAAAGGATAATACCCCACCTATAAAAGACACATTTATTAAATTACCAGTAAGCAGACCACGATGGACATGCTGAGACCTTTAAAATTATTAAGTCTAATAATTATTCTCCAACACTTTGTTGTAGTTACCAATGTTGTAACTTTGGAATATTACTATTATCACATTATAACAGTATTCTGCTTTCTAGGACGTAAGCTTAACAAGACACCTTTCAATCCACTGCCAGCCAAGGTTAATTGATCAGATCTGGCTAAATATACTCATTCCTTTCTTAAAAGCCTTCCTTCCTCCCCGCTCCTTCTACTGGCATTACTCCAGACGAAACTGAATGGAACTGCATTCCTAAAAGAGTGCTTATCACACTTACTAACCACCTGCACATTCATAATTTCATATGTTCCAACCAACAATTTTGTCAGGTATAAAACAGTGGTGTTACCGTCCTCATTTTATCTTATCTACGTCCTCATTTTATCTTACCTACGAGGCAAATGAAACTACATCCTGGCTGTCAGGCCTAGACTATTTCTAATACAGCACAGTGTCTCTAGTTCACTGGCAACTTTATACAGACTAGGCCAGTAAAGCCAGATTTGGTTACACTTAGCTTCAGAAGTCCTCTAATGCTTAATGACTTTTGATGATCTAGTTCAAGTACCATGTTTGTAGAAGTGTACCTGTTGTGATACTGCCTGTCTAAACCCCAACAACATTAGGCTGCAACAGAGAAGATTATGAAGACTAAGAATTAAGAGTTTAGAGAAGATGTAAAATGACAAGAAATAAGAAGACATGTAAGATCATCAAGAAAATAGTCTGCAGGTGATTGAACTGGGTAATTTCAGTCACAACTTTGAGGAATCTTATCGTTTACACATTACACAGTATCAAGGAAAGAATACGTTTAATTAAGAAAATTAAGAAATTAAGCATTAGGAAAAATAGACATCCTACTAAAGAAAGGCGAGAACGAAAAAAGCAACACGGAAATGCGATCACACACGACTGCCTAGATGACCACGACAAAAGCCGGGCTCTCAAAGGGCTCCTGGGACACACAAGGGAAGTTTCAAAGTAACGTAACAGAACCAAATAAAGTTTTCATTTAACAGGAGCGGATTTGGTAGATCTCCAGTGGCATCAGATGCACCCAGGAAACCCAGCCATTTTTGCTAAGTATTTAGGCACAGGGTACTATCTGAATCCACGCAGGAACCCGGATTTCCACGCAGGAAGGTCTATTAAAGAACGCCCTGATGACAAAGGCCGCTTTCGTGTTTATTCTCCGAGGGTAGGAGGCACATCCGAAGTCCAAGTTTCTTTGTTCTGCAGCGGGACAGACGCTGGTCATAAACAGAGGACCAACGTGGCCGAGTCACCGCCCCCCGGCGGGGGCGCGCGCAGGGGGGCACAGACGGGGGCAGGTTCCATCCGGGGCACAGCCGCCAGAAACAGAAAGGCGGGTGATGGGGGCCAGGATGGCAAACGCACACGGGAGCCGAGCCAAGGGCGGGGGCCTGCGCTGGGCGGGGATCCGGGAAGCGCCTCCCGGGCAGGTTCCGTGGCGCCCCCTGTAAAGGATAACGCTCCGGGCTTCCTCTCTCTGGCCCTCCCGGGACGCGCGCCCCTCAGGCGACCGCCCCCAGGCTTCTCAGCCCGGATTCTCCGTGCCCAGCCTTCCCGGGCCTCACTCACCCCGGAGGAAGCCTTGGCCCCCTCGTCTTCTTCGCCCCTCCAGGCCGGCGACGTGGAGCTGACGGCCAGGTCGCAGAAGGTAGCGCCGAGCGGAGCCCGCTCCCCTCGGACAGCAGTGGAGACCCAGGCACAAGTACCCCGGTTACGGCTGCAGCTGTAGCAGCAGCGGCGCGCCTGACCCGGATGCAGAGAGCTGCCCGGGCGGAAGTGACTACATTACGACCTTCTGCAGGCGCGGCAGCTGGCGGAGGCGTGGCTTCTTCTCCAAACCCGAGTCCGAGTCCCTCTCTCCGCCCCCTGAGTGCCCCGCCTCCCTCCCGACAAACGCCTGCGCATGCGCCCCGCTGGCGTTTGTGTGTTCCTATCCCTGGGCTGCGCGTCTTCCTGGGATCTCTTTGGGAGGTCCTCTGTGGCTGCAGACACGTCCTCTACCGGCGCAGGGACGCAGCATAGCGACTCAAAGAGCCATTAAAAAAAAGATTTTGTTCATTTATTTCTATATAGAGGGGAAGGGAAGGAGAAAGAGAGGAAGAGAAACATCAGCGTGGGGTTGCCTCCCACTTGCCCACAACCAGGGACCTGTCCTGCAACCCAGGCACCTGCTCTGACTGGGAATCTAACTAGCGACCCTTTGGTTCGCAGGTTGGCACTGAATCCACTGAGTCACACTAGCCAGGGTGCCATTTTTACATTCTTTATTTTGGTATTATTTATAACTACAGAAATTGTATATAAAATGGATAAAATGAAGGGAGGAAAAGTATCTGAAGCCTCATACTAAGGAACGAGGCCTCACGTGGGAAACTAGACCTCAGAAGAATCCAGAGTTTAGTAAACTCAAGGGTGAACAGCTGTACAACAGTGAAGAAAATTCTCAAACTGTATGTAGGAAAAGATCAATTTATCATTTTTTAAAATTTCCAATTAATTGTAGACCATGCTTTGGTGTGATAAAAATATAACAAATATTTTTTTCATTAGAGTCAGTAGACATCAATTACCTGTAAAATTTCTGTAAAGGTTGCTAAATCCTCACTCTCAATTTCTCTACTCTTGCTGTAGACCAAGTAACAAACAGTTCTCTGAAGGGCCCAGGTCTGTGGATCATACTTTGAGTAGCAACCTTGCTCTACAACTTCAAGAAAATAAGATTAGTTTGGAGAACATCATAGTCCCTCTCAGAAACCTTACTAAACCGAAAAGAGCAAAAATGTTAATCATTGATCCAAAATGCATCTTCCTGGTATACATTGTTTTAACATTTACTCACTATTGGTAAGTTAAACTTTCTGTGTCACATTAACAAAATTGGGGAAAATTATACTGTGTTGTGTGTATACACAACTGTAAACCTACTTTTGCCCACCTTATATATTAGAACTGTGCTTGGCATGTTGTAATCATATATGTATTAGGTATTATTATCCATCTCCTTTCTAGAAATTTTGTTAAATAGCTAGCTGAGAAAACAAAACATCAGTTTTAGCTGAACAACTTCTTGGGCCATGGTCATGTAATTTCATCTACATTTACAGATTTTTCATATTTCACTATTTTGCTTATTTCAGTAATGCAATAAATAGTATTCTCCACAGGGTGGCAGAAAATCACTTGAAATTATACACAGTGATTTTGCAATCTTTATTTTTCATTTCAGTAAATATATTGTTTAATAAACTTGATCAGTGTGTGCTTTGGTTTTGAGTAAGGCATTCTACCCTTTGTCTTTTTATTCCCATCTCGTGAATTGTCTATACTTATAGCTGAAACGTTAGAAACTACAGATAAGGCAAAAAAAAAGATAATCAGTATTAATACATTTATGTATATCCTTTCAGATTTTTGTATACATATACTTACATAAATAGCACATATGTGTTTTTGTAAAATTTAGATAATTTATACCAAATAGTTATTCATCTAATTTTTTCTTTTGATTTTAAAATATATCATGAACTCTTTTTCAGGTCATCTAAAATTTAGTAACATTATTTTTAGCATGGATAATTTATGTACTAACAATCCCTTATTGAACATTTAGGTTGCTCCTAAATGACACTTTGTAGAATGTTTAAAAATTCAGAAAAATAGAACTAACATTTTCAAACAATATACTAGTTGACATTTTCAAACAACATACTCAGTATATTTTCCTTTGACTTTTAGGTTGAAATACTTCTAAATAATGGGTCCAATTGTTAGTCTGAAAAAAAAGTATAAAAGACATTTTCCCTGTGTTTCCATATACTTGGACAATCTTTAGTGTATTTTTATAATCACTTGTTTTTTCCACGTACCTCCTTGAATAGGCAGATATTTAGATTCTTAAAAATTAGTAAAATAAACCCTGGCTGGGTGGCTCAGTTGGTTGGAACACCATCCCATACACCAACGGGTTATGGGTTCTATCTCTGTCTGGGCACTTCTAAGAGGAAACTGATCAGTTTCTCTCTCACATGGATGTTTCTCTCTCTCTCTCCCTCTCTCTCTCCTTTCCTCTCTTTCTAAAATCGCTAAACATATTTTTGGGTGAGGATTAAAAAAATTGGAAAATAATTCAAAAGGAAAAAGTATGACTCCCATATGGCAAGTAAAAGGTATCATTTGGAAAGTGATAGATTATGAGTAGGTCAGAGTCACCATCAACCTTATCATTTGTGGTTTCTGACTTTGGTATTATGTTTAAATAGGCCCCACTCACCCTAAAATTATGGAAGTAATCATAGCTGTTTCTAGTTTCATTTTTTAAAAATACAAACATTAAATCCAATTGGAACTGTGGATATATGCTTTTTATATAAGGTTGGGAATCTGATTTTACTAAACCCATGCACTAGTTGCTTAATATTTATTAAGTAATCTTGAACTCTGCTAGGTCTCAGTCAAATGAATGTTAACTTTCAGAGTTGTTACCTTGGGTTACTCACTTCAAGTATCTCTTCACAAATCTTTTGACAAACCTTTACATCCATTCATAAGCAATCATTGGACAAACCTTTATTGAACAATATTTGTGAGCCAGTACTGTTAGGCCCTGAGGGTACAGATAAAAAAGATATAATGTCTACCATTAGGGAGCTCACTGACTAGTCAGAGAGAAAGACAAATGAAGACAGTAAACAATCTGGGGGATTGAGGTGACCTGGTACTTCCAAGGTGAAGTTAAATAGAAGGTAGCTAAACATATCTGGAGGATGGGTGGTGGGGTCAGTAAAAGAAGATTTTCTGAAGGAGATGATCTCTTGCTTAGTAATAAGTGAAGTAGCTTTCAAGCAAAGACAAGGGCATCTGCAAATGCAGCCTGCTAGGAACTGCACATTTTTCATCATGGCTGGAACACAGCGGTGGGAGGATGAATGGGTATGAAAGGTCAGTAACAAAAATAGGTAGCCAAAGAAGAGATTAAAAAGGAATTTTTAAAAAATGCTAAGGATCTATATAGAATCAATATAATGAGCAACATGGAAAGGCAAGCAATTATGACTTTATAATTATATTCCAAAAGCAGAGATTGAAATGTGTACTACAAGATGACAGAATCTTTAGGATAAATCCCAAGAGAAATTCTTTGAGAGGAACAACACTCATTTGAATATATGCTTTAGTGTGTGTGTTAATATCACTCATGTTACTTTGTCATACATACTTCATACTTCAAAACAAAAGCATTCAGCCAAAATAGACTTGAAGAGATGCTGAGTCTGTATCTGCTACCCAGCTCCACCCCAGCCTTGGATCAGATGTAAGATAAAAGATAAGACATTTAAGACAACCCTCAGAAAGTGCTTCTATACATTCAAGTTTCAGAAGGCATAATGTATACTAGACAAAACTCTTGAATGCTGTTACACTCTCCACTGTGTAATTTTATAGACAGATTGTTATTCTTGCTTATGTGCATATAAATTCAGTGAACTGTGGCAGCTCACTCATAATTCTTGAAAAAATATGAAGTATTTTTTTACATGGGCTGAATATGTCTTTGCTGGTTGGGCTTGAGGGTAAAACCAGATATAATTATATATTCCTTTAATTATTCATAACTTGAGTCTGAAGTGAATGTGTATATATTTTTCACTTATTCACATTATAAAATTCAAAATTAACCCAGAAGCATTTTTCTCTTTGGCATGGTGACAAGTTTTTTTCTGCAATGAACCAGTAAAAGAAATTGTTCCAAATAGAATTTGTGCTTCCCTACTTCAGAAAATCAAATCGAACTTGATTCACACATATATTACATATCACCTTGTGTGATGCTTCCACATTCCACATAGTACTGGGTTGGCCAAAAAGCTCATTTGGTTTTTTCCCATAAGATGGCTCTAGTAAGCACTTAGTTGTCTTTAACTTGATTTGAAATAATTTTGTTAGATTGTATTGTGACAGCTGTCATAGCAGCGTGCATTAAAAAAAAAAACAAAGTTGGTGAATTTTTGTGTAGCCATTTTAATATTGAAGGTGGAAGAAAATAAGCAACCATTTTGGTGTAGTATGCTTTATTATTTCCAGAATGGTAAAAATGCAACAAAACGCAAAAGATTTGTGCAGTACCTGGAGAAGGTGCTTGACTGATAGAACATGTCAAAAATGGTTTGTGAAGTTTTGTGCTGGAGATTTCTTGCTGGATGAAGCTCCGCAGTCAGGTAGATCAGTTAAAGTCGAGAGAGATCAAATTGAGACATTAATTGAGAACAACCAACGTTGTACCATGCAGGAGAAAGCCAACCTATTCAAAATATCCAAATCAATAAAGTTTTTGATGAAAATGAAAAATGTCTTTTATTTTATGGAAAAAAACTAAAAAACATTTTGGCCATCTCAATACATAGAAGGAAGCAGAAGCAAACATTTCTAAGAATACAGGGTGGGCAACAGTAGGTTTACAGTTGTGAGTACACAAAACAGTTTATTCTTGTATTATTATTTATTAATTGTATTATTTTTCATATGAACAACTGTAAACCTAGTTTTGACCAACCCTGTACTTCAATATACAGAATTTGATTATGATCATTCAAGGAGAAAACCAGGCTTATTTTCTGAAGAATTTTAGTTCACAGGACTTGAAGGATTTAACTCATTCAGGGAAGTACCCAGGTTATGGACTGAGGTCATGTGAGAGCAAGAGTTCAGGACTAGACATAGTCATGTTGACAATGGAAGGCATGCATGTACTCCAACACAAGTTAG